AATAGAATCTCGGTCTTAGTTTGACCGTAGTATGTTTATATTTAACCCCTGTTGAACACACTTGATTAAAATCTTGATGTGCGTAAAGATCATTTTTTCGACCTTCTAATAAGGATATAAACCGATTTGGTCCCGAAGTACCATATTGTAATAATTATAAAGTATCGGTTTATTTCATCAATTACTCAAGACATTAAAATATTGCAAATACTGATACCTTTGTGGTACAATGGTTATGGATCTCTGTTATTCTGAATCACTCAAGAATAAACATGGCATATGAAGATCATTATCTGTATGGGAAGTTGAAGTGACCATGTAGCAAATTTATCTACTATGTATTTCAACATTGGTGAAGTTAGTCAAGATCTTAGCATGTGGCGTGAAGATTACAAGTGATGTACTCAACAGGGGGAGTAACCCCACGCTGTACTCTTTTTTCCTTGATCGAGGTTTTGTCCCGATAGGTTTCCCTGACAAGGTTTTTAACGAGGTAGCGTCATATTCATAAATTTCTGAAGCATTCAAGAATAAACATGGCATATGAAGATCATCGTCTGTGGAAGTTGAAGTGACTGTGTAGCAAATTTATCTACTATAGATTTCAACATTGGTGAAGTTAGTCAACATTTAGCATGCGGCGTGAAGATTACAAGTGATGTACTCAACGGGGAGAGTAACCCCATGCAGTACTCTTTTTCAATTGATCGAGGTTTTGTCCCAATGGATTTTCCTGACAAGGTTTTTAACGAGGCAGTGTCATATTCATATATGTACTCTTTTTTCCTTTATTAGATTTTTATCCCACTGGATTTTTTCAAGTAAAGGTTTTAATGAGACATTATCCCAAGAAATGGACATCCAAAGGGGAGCGTTATAAATATGTAATAATGTGGATGTCCACAAGGCAAAAGAGTTATACAAGGAATCAAATGTATAAAGATAATATTTAGTTAGATCTTATTCTTAGTTAGATCTTATCATTATTTATTCTTATCCTTGTACCTATCTCCTCTATAAAAGGAGAGCAGTCTCTGCAGAAATAAGAGACAGATCAATTCTCTCTTTCTCTCTCCTAACTTATTCTCTCACTTTATTATTCTTTTCCTACAGTTTTATATTTATTTTATAACAGTTCATACATTTCGTTTTGATCCTTTTTTTATTTTTTATTTTGGAATATTTACATTCTATTAGTGGAAATATTTTTGTTTAACTAAATTAAGATTACTTATAATCTTGAAATCTAAAACCCACCTTTCATCTAATTTCGTACTACCTATACTTCCCTCGAGCACGATCTCTATAAATGCTAGACTTTTGGAGTAAGGGCAAGGGAACACGAGAAGGATGATTGCTTTTACCAATACCATAAATTTCTACAAGCTCTTTTGGTTTCTTTCCCCACTGCATATATACTCTATCCATCTCAAAATAATAATTCAGATTGAATTTTTTTTTTCTTATAATTTGTACTAAAAATAAAAATATAAATGAGATAATCATTTCGCAACGAAAGTAATATTCCCTCCGTCCCAAAATGAATTATTCAGTTTGGATTTTCATTCTTATTACAAAATAATTGTCTACAATTTGTACTAAGAATGAAAATTCAAATTGGACAATTATTTTGTGACAAAGAGAATATATATTTTTAAATTTTCCGGCACGTGATGAAATGGTACTAGAAAAAGAAGTACTCTAGTATGATAGATTAATAGGTACTTCTTTTGTCCGCAAATGATTGTTCAAATCGGATTTTTATTTCTATTGTAAATTGAATTAAAAGGGAAAATTTAAACGAGACAATTGTTTTACGATTACACTATGCTGAATCAAAATATAAAAAAAGAATATAGCAGTAAGATTGTTGGGCGTAGGGTGTAATCGAACCGAACCGAGAGCGGGCGGACCTCTAAACGAGCTCAGCTCGAGTCGAGCCAGGAAAATTGAGCTCGAACTCGGCTCGATCAATTTGTTAGTAGGCTCGCAAGCGGTTCGACCAGCTCGAAACCATATTAAAACCTACTTGAAGCATTTCAACAAACACTTCTAATGCACAAAAATTGAACCTTTTTCCCAACTCAACACGAACAATCCAGGCACCTAAATCCAATTAATATATTGGATCCATAACTCTAATTACTATATCCAACATACTAACTCGTGAGGGGAAGAGAACGAGCAAAGAAATGAAATCAAGAAAAAGAGGGGAAATAAGAAAACGGAGAAAGAAGAGGCAATATTATGCATTTAACTTGGTTCATTGCAAAGATTTGAGGATGAACATAAACTCTAATCCCCAAATCTGAACAAATAAAGATTCGGCAAGTACACAGAAAGGGAAAAAAAACACTAGAAAAAAGAAAGGAAACAAAAGCCTGCAACTCATATTTCCACAATCCTCTCCAATCAAAAGATATCAACAAAAAACCACATGGACTTTTACCATTCGATTAGATTAAACCCAACGATGCTCTCCCTCAATTGAACTCAATTGAGAACTCGCTCTCAAATCACTTAAGGCAGATAGGGGAAGAAGCAAACGCACCTTGAACAAAAAAATCCTTGCTTAAATTTTGTTTAGGAATCATAGGCAGAAGAGAATTTTAAAAAAAGAGGAGGAGAAATACTCAAATATGAGCTCTCTCGGAGGAAGAATGGGAAAATGGCAAAAATGAAGTTGATGGGTAGATAGATAATAATTAGATAAGGAATAATAGGGTATACGTCCCAACGTTTATACCCTACTAGCGAATTCATTCTAAAATTTTAAAATTGGTTAATCATGTCTCAAGTTATTAAAATTGAGCAGATCCATCTCAGGACCTGCAAACCAACATAAGTGACCTAGTATAACAGGTACATTCATTTGGATTTCATATTTAACATCTTTACTTCTGTTTTTTTTTTTTTTGAATTTTTAAAATTTTTTTAGTTTATTAAAACAAAAACAAATTTTATAAATGGAGAAACTAAAAACTTTAATTTATTTATAATGAATCTAATTTATTTTATAATCAGATTCATCTTAATTTTTCGATAAAACTTAAAGAAATTTTCCAAAAAAAATTCTTTATTTTGAGCGAAAAATAGAATGATTATGTGTTTATTCACACATACATACACACACACACATATATATACATTTATATATATATATATATATATCTTGTATTCAAAAATTAATTAATTTTGAGCTCATCCAAAATTTTAAATTATTTCATTTGTGATGCATAAATTATTTTGATTAATTAAGTAAGTTTTTTCGAGTTTTTTAATCTAAAAATTTTGTTTGTTTTTTACTGAACTAAAAAATGACCAAAAAAAAGAGAAAAAAAAGAATAAATATGAGACCAATAGATTTTTACATGTTATATCAGGTCATTTTTGTTGTTTTGCAAGTCATGGGATGGATCTGTTCAATTTTGATAACCTTGTGACGTAATTAACTAATTCTAAAACTTTGGGATGAATTAGCACACTGATGTAAACATTGAGACGTATCGACCCATTCACCCTAATTAAATAAGTCTATCATGTTGTAAATAATAGTAGCAGTAAACAACTAAACACCTATATATTTTTATTTTAATAAAATTAATAAATACTAGTATTAGGCTCGTTAAGCTTGATGAGCCACCGGGCGCACAATGAATTAGCTCGAACTCGGCTCGTTTGATTAATTGAATTCGCTCGAGCTCGGCTCGAGCTCGGTCAATTTCGAGCTCGAGTCGTGTTTTGACCGAGCCGACTCGCTAGTAGTTTGCGAGCGGCTCGGTTCATTTACACACCTAGTTGGGACAATTTTTACTCGCGAGTCGGCTCGGTTTATTTACACCCCTAGTTGGGCCAATTTCAACTTCATGAGTACTATGGCATTTTTTTTTTTTGCATACTTACAGGGTGTTCACTGTCGGCAACAATGACTAATCCCCCTCGCTGAATTATAGGCACCTCAATGGGTGGGATAGCTGGCAAAAGTATTTAAGGTTGTTCCATGCCCATGGCGATGTTTGAAATCTCGACCTATGGTTAAGGGTGGAGGAGTCCCTTCCACTCTACCACAACCACTTTAGTTAATAGTGTGGCATAGTTGAATATCATAAAATTGAAACTGCTACGGCCTGAAATGGGATCAATCCAGATATGATGGGCCTCGAACTATCTTCTTGGGCCTTAGTAGAGTTGGATAGATTCAGACATGATCACCAGCTTTATTATGGGCCCTTGAAAACGGCTCATAGAATACTCAGTTCATTCTTTTTTATTTTGTCTGTCAATTTTCAGAGCCAAGATCTTAATTCTTAAAAATAAATACTACTACTGTATAAAAACTATAGATAAAATAAAAAATCCTCAAAAACTCCTATTAATGTTGGAAAGGAAGGAGATTCTCTAAAGAAACCCCACCAACGACAGAGAGAAAAATGTCCTTCCGCCCCCCAACCATTCATGTAATAGTTTAAGTTCTAATAATATGTATTTAATTAAAATATATAATGATATGCTTTGTAAATTTCTCTGTTAAATTAAAGTACGATAGTACAAAATTAATAAAATAATTAATCCCATTCGATTTTTTCCAGAATCCAACAATATAAACATTGTGATTTTACTTGTCAATCTAATAAATAAAATATATATTATAGCTATTTGTATTTATTTGTACGTTGTAGGCAAATATACAATAAACCAATAACCTTCTACGTTGTGGTCAAGTTTAATATTATTATTGAAATTTTTTTAGTTTTATGTGACGATATCATGTGAATTATTCTTATCTATTTAATAATTTTATGAAACAAACTTACATCGCAAATTTTTCTAATTGATGAAGAATCAAATTTTTTTTTTTTTTGGGAGCACATGTGAAAATATTAAGCAAACTTAACAATCATATTGGGTAATAATTATACTACATTTTTTAATTTTTTTTAAGGAAAAAAAAGAACAAAAGAAAAACCACAAATGGAATAACGCCCAGTAATATTGAAGCACAAATTTGGGGGAAAAAAAAAAGATAATATAAAAAGCGGCGGAGCACTTCCGTTTGCCCTAAAGCCCTAGCGCCGCGAGCGTTCTACCAAAAATTACCGAAGCACCGCCACTTGCTCCTATCTTCAATCCAGAAGCTCCCTCGAACAAGATTCGGAGCCAATTGCTTTGCGCTTTCAGGGATTTTGATTCTCAATACTTATATCAGGTTCGTTTCGATGTTCTATTTCTTCGCCTGCTTAATTGAATTGTTAATTGGAATTGAATTGGTGAACGATGTTTTCGGGGTTTTTTTTTTCTCCTTTTGTTATGAATCCAAGGGTTTCTTGCGTATCTGTCGTGAGATTCTGATTTTCGGTTTCATTTACGGTTTTCTGATTGTATTTTTTTTTTTTTTTTTAATTCCAGTTTCTGCGGATACTTGGATCTGTAAGCCAGTGAAGAAACAACCATGGCATCGAAATTTTGGACTCAGGTTAGTTCTGTTTCTGCTTTATCGTTCTGTTCCCTTTCAAGGATTGAAGCGGCTATATGGTCTGGATTTGTATTCTGATTTTACGTTATTATTATTTGCTGAACGTTACATGGCTCCCCTTCTGCGTTTTCTGTTTCGTTTTCCTTTTGAATGGTCTTACTATTGTGAAAGTGGTCTTATCTGTCCTAACGTGGTTAAGTTAGTTGTAGTTTTAACTTTTGGGGTTTGTACAGGGTGGTGAAAGTGAATCTGAGGAAGAGGAGAACTCAGAAGTAGAGCTGAGTGAGGATGAAGTCCAAGTCGAGGAAACCGATAAAGCTGTTAAGAACAAGTATTATCAAACTAGTGACGACGAGGATACTGATGATGATGTTAAGCGTGTTGTGAAACCTGTAAAGGAAAAGCGCTTTGAAGAGATGACCAACACCATTGATCAGATGAAAAATGCTATGAAAATCAATGACTGGGTTAGTCTACAAGAGAGCTTTGACAAGATTAACAAGCAGCTGGAGAAAGTGATGCGGGTTACCGAGGCTGCTAAAGTGCCGTCTGAGTACATTAAAGCTCTTGTGATGTTAGAGGATTTTTTGAACGAGTCCTTGGCTAATAAGGAGGCGAAAAAGAAGATGAGTACGAGCAATGCTAAGGCACTGAATTCAATGAAACAGAAGCTTAAGAAGAACAACAAGCAGTATGAGGAGTTGATTATCAGATATAGGGAGAATCCTGAAGTTAGTGATGAAGAAAAGGATGAAATTGTTGATAGTGATGAAGAATCCGTGACAGACGTTGAAGACCCCACAGAACTTGAATCAGATAGGGATGAAGATGATGACAAAAAAGACGACCAGGATATCGAGAAGTGGAATATTGTGAGGAAAGATAAGTTTGATAAGCAATTCAGCAATCCTAATCAAGTCACCTGGGATACAGTCAATAAGAAATTCAAGGAAATTGTAGCTGTGAGAGGAAGAAAGGGTACGGGAAGGATTGAGTTGGTTGAGCAGCTCACTTTCTTGACCAGAGTTGCTAAGACTCCAGCACAGAAGCTTGAGATTCTCTTTAGTGTTGTGTCAGCCCAATTTGACGTTAATCCAAGTTTGAATACGCATATGCCTATTAATGTTTGGAAAAAATGCGTCCAGAATATGCTGATTATCCTTGATATCTTGAGTCAGTACCCAAACATTGTGGTCGATGACACAATAGAACCAGATGAAAATGAGACGCAAAAGGGCGCGGATTATGATGGTACTATTCGGATTTGGGGAAATCTAGTTGCTTTCCTAGAGAGAATAGATGTGGAATTTTTCAAGAGCTTGCAGGTTATTGATCCCCACACCCGTGAATATATCGAGAGGCTCCGTGATGAGCCTTTGTTAGCGGTTCTTTCTCAAAACATCCAGGAGTACCTGGAAAAGGCTGGTGATAGCAAGGGTGCTGCTAAGGTCGCCCTTAAGCGGGTTGAACTTATCTACTACAAACCGCAGGAGGTATATGATGCTATGAGGAAATTGGCTGAACTAAGTGAAAGTTCTGATGGTGAGATGGAATCCGGTGAGCAACCAAAAATAGAGGAGAAAAGACCTCCTGTTGTGGCAACTCCAGAGCTTGTGCCTCGAAAGCCCACCTTTCCAGAGAGCAGTAGGACTTTGATGGACATCCTTGTTTCAGTCATATACAAGTCTGGTGATGAGCGTACAAAGGCCCGTGCAATGCTTTGTGACATCTACCACCATGCTCTGCGCGATGAATTCGCAACATCCCGTGATTTGTTGTTGATGAGTCACTTGCAGGATAATGTGCAGCATATGGATATTTCAACTCAAATACTATTTAACAGAGCAATGGCACAGCTTGGTTTATGTGCATTTAGAGTTGGGCTCATTGCTGAAGCACATAGTTGTCTTTCTGAGCTATATTCTGCTGGCAGAGTGAAGGAGTTGCTTGCCCAAGGTGTTTCCCAAAGTAGATTTCATGAAAAGACACCGGAACAGGTACTTTATGATTTACCCTATAATAGATCTCATTGTCTGTTTGGCTATCATTGTATGCAATGGAATAACAGAACTTCGATGTTAATTATCTGTTGAAGCTAGAAAGGAACTGCCTTCATGCTTGCAATTGTTTCAAGTACTTCTCTTCCCCCAGTAAATGGATTATATTGATACGTCGAAGCTATTGACTGTGTTTTTCTTTTGAGGATACTATGATATGTACTGCATGAACCTTTTTAATTATATCAGAGATGCTATCATATTTTTTCCAGTAATATCATTCAGCAAATGCTACACATTTTGTAATGTTGGCTTGACTTTTTGGGTTGTACCAGGAATATTTTTGTTGTTAATGTGAAATTTTTTGCAGGAACGGATGGAAAGGAGGCGCCAGATGCCTTATCATATGCACATAAACCTGGAGCTTCTCGAGGCAGTTCATCTTATTTGTGCCATGCTGCTTGAGGTTCCTAACATGGCAGCCAATAGTCATGATGCAAAGCGCAAGGTTATAAGCAAAACATTCAGAAGGTTGCTTGAAGTTAGTGAGAGGCAAACATTTACTGGCCCCCCTGAGAATGTAAGAGATCATGTAATGGCTGCAACCAGGGCACTTAGGCAGGGAGACTTTGAGAAGGCCTTCAACGTTATTACCTCACTTGATGTTTGGAGGCTGCTTCGTGACAAGGACGGTGTACTGGGAATGTTGAAGGGCAAAATTAAGGAGGAAGCACTTCGGACATATTTGTTTACGTATTCATCTTCCTATGATTCTCTCAGCCTGGATCAGCTTGCAAAAATGTTTGATCTCTCTGACACTCAAACTCATAGTATTGTCAGTAGGATGATGATCACCGAGGAACTTCATGCAAGTTGGGACCAGCCAACCCGATGCATGGTTTTTCATGATGTCGAGCACAGTCGTTTGCAGGCTTTGGCTTTTCACTTGGCGGAGAAGCTGTCTGTTCTTGCTGAAAGCAATGAGAGAGCCATGGAGTCCAGAGTTGGTGGTGGGGGATTGGATAATGTGCCCATGAGGCGTAGGGATGGCCAGGATTATGCTTCTGCAGCTGCATCTGGTGGCGGCGGAAGATGGCCAGATTTGTCCAACACACAAGGCAGGCATGGAAGCAGTGGTGGACGGACGGGTTACAGTACTGGGGGTAGAAACTTCTCCTCAGGCCAAGGTGGCTATTCTAGGGACAGAGGGTCTCAATCCCGCGGAATGGGGAGGAGTTACCAAGGTGGTTCTGCTGCCAGGGGAAACCAGATGGATGGTTCCACTCGTATGGTTAGTCTGAACAGGGGTGTTCGTGGATAGAGTTTCAAAGCTTAAGCGCATTTTGTACTGCAAAATTCGTTTGCCTCCACTGTCTGAAGCTCATCTTTAATTTTTTTTTTTGATTATCCTATTATTCGGAGCCACTGCTTTTGTCGTTTCTTTCTATGTTAAGACTTTTGAAAGGGTACTGTCTTCTCTTCTTAATTACGAAGAATTTCCATATGTTAGCTACAGTAACATTTATTTCATACATTTTCTTGCCTTTCTATTCTCAGCTGATGAAGATTAATACTCCTTCCGTCCCATAATTATTGTCCACTTTGTCCAAAAAATTGTCTCAAAATTATTGTCCAATTTGATTTTTTATGGATCAAGTTACACATTTGTCTTTAATAAAAAACATTATTCATAAAATCTTAGTGGTTAAATAATTACTTATGTAGGGGTATATCCGGTTGTTTAAGATAAAATATAGTTATGTTTGACCAAAAATAAAATCTTTTATTTTAATAAAACTAGATAAAATATAGTTATGTTTGACCAAAAATAAAATCTTTTATTTTTAATAAAATTGGACAATAATTATGGGACGGAGGGAGTAATTTTTGTAGTCGCATAATTATTCCATTTAATGCAAAAAAAAAAAAAAAATCTATTTTTTCTCTCCTCAACTATATTCTTTTAGATACAGAGCAGCCTTTAGAATTTTACTCTGTATTTTGACACCATAATCCGTAAAATTCCAGCAGAGAATAAAAAATAAGAAATTATGTATGACATAATTGGAAACAGTATTTTGATGCTGTACTATGAAAAATTTCGGTTGAGAATCAACCATTAGAAATCATACGCAATTGTAGTGACAGTAAAATAGGATTCTACATAACAGAGGAAGGACTATGGCAGAGTTTATGAACTTCGATTTTTCATTTCTCAGTTTTTTCTTCTAATGAACGGTTTAATATACGACTTTGTTCTCTGTAACAACAAAATATTGAAGAAAATAATGCTCGACGTAGTGAGTACGAGCAATAACAATTATGCAAAATAGGCCAAATGTTCAACTAATTAAACTAAGCAAACAAGGCCAAAGTTTCACCAATTAAAGACTTAATTCTATGGCCCATGTCAACCTTGAAGATCTTCAAGGTCATAGCCCATATTCTTCAAATAGTCACCTCAAAATGGTTTAGGATTGATTTTATCGTCCTTATTTATTTACGATGACTGTTAACTTTGTAGTATATTGCCAAAAGTTTGGGTGTTCGAGACACAGAAATATATAAAAAGATAAAGTGCTACTTTAGTGAGAAATTTATGGCATAACTAATTTTATTTATCTTTTTTAACAATTACTAACAATTATTTAATTTGAGAAGAGAAGAAAAACGGATGACAATTGGCAAGTGTAAAGGACAAACAATTATGAATTTTTATAAATTTTAGAATTTAATGTTCAGAAGTGTTCTTTCTCTTGAATATCCCCATAAAACAAATTAGTTCTTCATAATTATCTTTAATTGCGATAAAGAAACTCCTCACATTCTTTGAGTTAAGCATCAAAAAATGGTGATTTGGGAAGGACTACGAAACTCAATCTTACGTTTTCTAATTATATATATGTTTGATGATGATATGATATCTGAATAAAAAATGAAACAATTTTATTTATTTACTTCTCTTTTGTTGCGTTAATTAATGGTGAAATTTTTTGAACACATAATCATAAGAGTAACACGATTATTAATTATTTATTTGATGTATTGTTTCACCTTAAGTAAAAATATCACATGAAAAAAAGGAATAGAAACACATATAAGTGAGAAGATTAAAAGACTAAAATTGATTATCAAAAGGATAATGGAAAATTGAGAAAATCAAAAGACTATGACATCAATTTTAATCCTTTGATCTTCTCAATCATAACTTTTTATATTACTAGTGCTTGCACATTCGATGCGGGAAGCACATTATAAATGATCTGATGTAATTAATTCAGTTTTAAAGGTTTAATTTTAATTAATCTGTTCTATGAACAAAATTTTCAAAATGTTTTGCAAAACAAATAAATTATATGATTTTGATGTTTTTCTCTGGCTTATAATTAGCACGGTATGTGCACGGAAATGTTGAAAGGCATCGAAAATTATCAGGGACGATTCCAATCACCTTTATTTTAATTTTATTTTTTTTTATCGTGAAGTATAGTTTCTGCTTAATGTGGTTAGGATTTCGAATTTGAGAATGTCCTTTGACCAATTCGAACAATTAAGTTTAACTTCTGTGGATTTTTAATATTTAAAAAATTATCAAACCAGAAGATTGAAGTTAGAAAGATGCATCCTCACAGCAAAACACCATTTAAATTAATCTTAGTTTCTTCTCTTCAAATCAAGAAAATATCATTTGATATTTCTAATGTTCTAGTTAGAAATATCACCTTTAAATCAAAATAATCTTTTGAAAAAGGATTCAGACACGAGGTTATTTGCTTCATTTAAAGACTTATGGATAATACAGAACAAAAATCACGTGGTCAACGGCTTACTATAAAATGGTCAATGATGCCATTTGTCTCTCATGTCCAATTTTAACTCTAATAATTAATTATCACATTATATAGATAGCTGAACAATCATTTTTACAGTACTAAAATCAAAATCTTGTCTATATTTGTATTTACAATATATTATAGATAAATTTTTTATATGAACAATTTTTTAACGAAATATTCTTTGTATCTAATTTTTTCGATGAATAATGGGATTTTGTCATTTGTATTGCAATTAGGTCCCCCCCTTTTGGTGTGTGGGGGTTGTTAATCAGCCAATCCTTTAATAAACTTGGAAACCTTTTTTCAATCTAAGGTAACGCTATATCAAGTATTGGAGTGTGCCTTTATTTATGCTCCACAAAATAAGAATAAATAAAGTTAATAATAGCAAAACTGTGTGACATTCGATATGCATGGGGCTGTATGTGGATAAGCCAAATATGGAGAAGACCCCGATTTCCAATCATTAGTATAAGCCTTTAGATCAGAAGATCACGAGAAAATATAAATTCTACAATTCCTGTTTTTTTTTTTTTTTTCCCATCGAGTGCAAAGATGAATACATTCTAAAATAAGCACAGATGGATATTTGGAAGCTTAACTTGTAAAGACTGATAAGTTTACAGAGGTAATTCATGTGTATTGATCAAGGCCAAAAGTCAGGCCATATATACAAGTTGTATAAATTAGGGTTAGGGTTAGGGTTTTCCGGAACCTTTTGAAATACAACATATAAAGACATTTTTAACCTTACTGTAATATACTCTAACACCCCCCTCAAGTTAGAGCATGTAAGTTACAAATGCTCAACTTGGACAAAAGAAAACAAAACTGTTGAAGACCTAAAGCCTTGGTGAAGAGATCTGCCAATTGAGATTGAGAAGGAACAAAACTTGGCGCAATTAAACGCTGAACAAATGCATCGCGAAGAAAATGACAGTCAACCTCAATATGTTTGGTACGCTCATGGAAAACCGAATTAGCCACAAGATGTCAGGCAGACTGACTATCACAATAGAGGCGCATAGGACGAGAATGACCAACACCAAGGCTACACAAGAGACACTTCAACCACTTCAACTCACAAATGGTATTAGCTACGATACTCAGCTTCTGCAGAAGAACGAGAAACAAAAGCCTGTTTCTTTGTACGCCAGGAAATGGGGGAATTACCAAGAGTGATGAACCAACTACTAAGAGAACGACGAGATAGAGGGCAACTTACCCAGTCCGAATCACACCACCCATATAACTGTAGATCACTGTCAGCACGAAGAAAAATCCCTTGACCAGGACTAGACTTCAAATAATGAACCACACGAAGCGCAGCATCCCAATGAGCCTGACGAGGAACCTGGATAAATTGTGCCAACATATGTACACTGTATGAAAGATCAGGGCAAGTGACAGCCAAGTAGATCAAGCGACCAATCAAATGACGATAACGTTCATGATCATCAAACAGAGAACTCTCATCTAGCGGAAGATGATGATTTTGTTCCATAGGAAAAGAAGCAGGTTTTCTACCCAACAGGCCAACTTCAGAGAGAATATCCATGGCATATTTCCATTGACAAAGAAAGATGCCAGAGGGACTACGAGCCACCTCAATACTCAAAAAATACTTAAGGACCCCAAGATCTTTCATGTGAAAATAGGTACTCAAATAAGATTTGAAAGCAGAAATAGCAGCAGAGTCATTTCCCCCAATAACAAGGCCATCCACATTATACCAAAATAGACAGACAAATTGTACCACGATGATAAGTAAACAAGGAGTAATCAGCAGAGGATTGAACAAACCCATACAACTTCAAAGAGTGAGCCAATTTAGCAAACCAATAACGTGGAGCTTGCTTAAGACCATACAAAGAGCGTTGAAGATGACAAACCTGACATGTTGTGGAAGAATAAAAACCCGGAGGAAGTTTCATTTACACTTCTTCCATCAAATCACCATGGAGAAATGCATTATGGACATCCATATGATGCAACTCCCAATTCTTAGTCGCCGCAATAGCCAAGAAAGTATGAACAGTCACCATCTTAGCAACAGGAGCAAATGTCTCAGTATAATCAATACCTTCTACCTGATTGTTGCCAAGAATAACCAAACGAGCTTTGTACCGCTCAACAGAACTATCAGAATTGTATTTGATCTTGTAAATCCACTTAAAGACGATAGCTCATTTGCCAGGAGGAAGAGAGGTAAGCTCCCAAGTATGATTATTCTCCAGGGCACAGATTTCACTAGACTTAGCAGAGCGCCATCCTGCATAGCTTTACGAAATGTACTAGGCTCAACTCCTGCAATGTTAGCTGCTAAGAAAACTCGATGACGAGGTGAGAAAGAATCACACTTTACAAAATGTGTTATAGGATAGGGACTACCCGAGGACGCGGGTGGAGCAGGAGTAGCAGAAGGGGGGGGGGGGAGGGAGGTGGGACTCACAGTATGGCGAGCATAGTCACGAAGACGAACTGAAGGATACTTAGTGCGAAGCCCATGACCCAAGTTGTCTGAAGAATCTCTATTGACAGGCTCTTGGACCTCTGGTAATGGCCCAGAGATAGGCACATGCACAGACGAAGATAAAGTAATCTTAGGGGTGTTACTAGGAACATGATGATCATGAACAACTATAGGAGGAGCAACACACTCATCATCATCATCAATAAAAATAGACGGACCCATGGATGGAAACAGAGCAGACGAATCGGGCGAAGCAGAAGTGTTAACATAAGGAAATTCATTCTCACAAAAAACCACATCCCGAGAGGCCAAAATTTTGCGAAGTTCAAGATCATAAACCAACCACCCCTTTTTGCCAACTGGATAACCAATAAATACACATCGACGACTCCTAGGAGCAAATTTATTACCCCTTGGCCTAGTTATGAACATAACACAAACACCCAAAAACACGCAAATGCTGTAAAGAGGGGGTTCTACCATACAAAATTTCAAAAGGAGACTTGCCATTTAATACAGATGACGGTGTATGATTAATTAAATGAGTAGCAGTCAACACACAGTGTCCCCAAAACTCAATAGGGAGATTTTCCTGAAACAACAAAGCACGAGCAACATTAAGGATGTGACGATGCTTGTTCTCGACACGGCCCTTTTGTTGCGGAGTACCAACACAAGAAGTCTCGTGCAAAAGTCCATGCTGACGAAAATAAGAACCCATAGACATAAATTCAGATCCGTTATCGCTTCGCATAGTTTTAACCACTTTACCAAATTGTTGATGCACCATCGCAAAAAATTCACACAAACGAGCAGAAACAGATTGCTTATCCATAAGCAAATGAACCCAAGTAGTACGAGAAAAATCATCCAAGATAGTAAAAAAATATTTCGCACCACGCAAGGCAAAAACACAACGTGGGCCCCATAAATCACAATGTATCAAAGAAAATAGCTCAGTACTGTTTGAATTACTAATAAGAAAACTTACACGAGATTGTTTTGCGTGAAAACATACATCGCACGTCTTATTCAAAATCAAACTACTGCTAGAATCAACCAGAGACGAATGCTGAGGAAACTTGGCAGAAGGATCCCCTAACCATCGATGCCACAACTGGGAAGAATCACCAACCACAGCACAAACAATACTTGCAACAGCCGGTCCCCAAAAGAAGTAAAGTTCCCCCAACTATTCACCCCTCCAATCAGCGTCCTCTGGATAACACAAAATTTATTAGTAAACTGAGCTACACAACCCAAATCCTCCAACAGATGATATAGAGAAATCAATCTACATCGTGAATTGGGAATGTATAGAACATTGTCCAACACCACAAAATCACTTAAATGCACCCGGCCAACCTGGGAAGCATACGTCACAGTTCCATCCGGCAAATGAATCGGACGAGAGGAAATCGCACGTAAATCCACCAAAAAATGCATAAAACCCGTCATATGATGGGAAGCACCACAATCATACATCCATGTATTAGACAAATTCTTACCAGACAGAGAGTCACTGGGCTTATTCTTATTGATTAAGGAGATAAGGGTTTGCCATTGTTTGGGAGAGAGATCGGTGACAGCCGCTTTGTCTCCTTCTGAAATTGTAGAACCAGCAAATTTATTTCCCGGAGCAAAAGCTGCATTTTCCCTTGACGCACCACGACCGGGATGATTACCGTGACCAGCAGCAGCTAAAGTCGAACCAGAACCCGAGTCGTGACTGGAAGAGCCACGACCAGCTGAACCGTGACCGAAACCACCACGACGCGGCGCCAGCGACCCCCACCATTCGGGATAACCAATTATATCAAAACAGCTTGCTGCTTCATGGCCGGGTTTTTGACAATTGGCACACATCAGGGAAGACTTATTCTTCTATTCAGCGGCGGCCTTAGTCTCAGATTGCACCGGCGGTCGCGAACGAGGAGAAAAACGAGCAGCACCCTGAACAGAAAAGCTGAGAACGTCGGCAGCAAAATCTTCAGGAACTTGAGCTCTCAGCCGTTCTTCTTGCACAAGAAGAGCATATGCACGATTAACAAAGGGGAGAGGATCTTGTGACAAGATGTTTGATCGGACTGTACGCAGCAGAATCTTTAGGAACTTGAGCTCTCAGCCGTTCTTCTTGCACAAAAAGAGCATATGCACGATTAACAGAGGGGAGAGGATCTTGTGACAAGATGTTTGATTGGACTGTACCATAAACAGAGGCGTCTAATCCCATGAGAAGTTGATGAAGCTTCTCGGATTCACGACGAGAAGCACAAGCAATGATGAATTCAGCCGAACCATAGGAACACTCCAACGGTGGCTCATAATGCACAAGATCCTCCCAAAGTTGTTGTAATTTACCAGAGTGCGAGGCCATACTCAGGCCCTTTTGCTTGCAGCCAGCCAACTCTGCCTTCAGCTGCTGGATTTTGGGACCATTAACAACGCCAAAGGGCTCAGACAGATCAGTCCAAAGGGAGGCAATAACTTCCCTGTGTGGAACCGTGGCACGGATCGAAGGATCGATGAAATTCAGCAACCAGGCAATCAAAATTGAGTTGTTGGTCCACCAATCTTCAAGATCGGGATCGTTCGCCTGCGGCTGGGGAATTGAGCCATCCACGAACCCCAAATTTTTACTGGCGCGAAGGGACATACGAACGGAACGCGCCCACTCGTCGTAGTTGTCAAGCTTGAGCATCACGGTTGTGATCGGATTACCAGGATTATTGGCAGCAGACAAATCATACGGGTTGATGGTTTTGCAGCGTAGAGGTTCAACAGGTCCAGCCACGGTGTTGGTCACACCAGAGTTGGATGATTCTTCTTCACCGATCGCCATAGGACAAAGCCGGCGGAAGAGATCGATTCAAAGGCACAAAACAGAAAGTTTAGGGCTGGGATAGTTCGAATAAATTCAAGCTTGATACCTTGTAAAGACTGATAAGTTGATAGACATAATTCATGTGTATTGATCAAGGCCAAAAGTTGGCCATATATACAAGTTGTACAAACTAGGGTTAGGGTTAGGGTTTCCCGGAACCTTCCGAAATACAACATACAAAGACATTTTTAACCTTACCGTAATATACTCTAACACAACTTGACTAATGCTTGGTTGTGTTCTAAAATGCTTATGTGGCTGTTATCTACGATGCTAGTTCGTACAACATGAATGCGCAAAGGGAGAAAAGTGCTTTGTTGGAGAGGCTGCGTTCTGGGTGAAGAAGATTCTGTCTTCTTTCAATGAGTGTGGTTTGTCAATCGAGCAACTGTTCTCGGGTGCGACAAACATTCCAATGTGAGTAACACTTCTTGCCAACAAAGTTCTAGTTTCATTTCAATGTTTCAGCCCTTCGTTGTTTTCAGTTGAATGATGGTTTATATCTTTGTGTAGCGTCCTGGCTTGTATCACGTGGGCAATGAGATCATGCTGATTGAAAGAGACTTTATTGCCTCGGGGTGTGGGTCAGACTATGTCATTTTTCATGTGATGTGCATTGAGTAAGTTTCTTTTTTTTCCTTAATCCTTATCGTTGTTGAATGCATGACAAGATTAGTCAATGGTTTTGTTATTTAACCTGATTTGTTGGTTTTTGTTTCTTTATAAGGAATATGCACGATATGTATCTTCGTAAGGCTACAGAGCTTTCAAGAAAGACCATTCGCTATGCTGCCTCACACGTGAAACTGGACGTTGAATTGGGCGATGTTCATCCTGGTGAACTTGATGGGTTCATCAGTGGTACGCTTTCTTACTAGTGATTGATCTGGCTTTTGTTTTTTTTTTTTGGAATGTACTCTCCCCGTCCCATAATTATTGTCCAGTTTGGGTTTTCATTTATAGTTCAAATTGTACTAAACGTGAAATCTCAAAGTAGACAATAATTTTGGGACAGAGGGAGTACTTCTTTTCCCTTCTTTTGTTTTTATGCTGAGTACTCTTTTCTTGTTTGAAGGGTACTTTGTAGGACGTCGTGGGTGGAGGTCGGTCTTTGATAATGAAGACGTTGGAGAAGCCGCCGGTCTGCGATTTGAGAACCCGCCGGTCTTTGACTTTGAAGATAGACTCACAGACTCTGATGATGATGCTGTAGGCTGTAGCATCTTAGGGATGGCCTTATAACTAGATTTCAGCTTAGCAAATCCGTTGTTTGTTTTTGGAGTTTCTTTGGGGGAAAGGGGATAGGCATTACCACTTTATGGCTGCAAGCGTGTTTGTATTCCTTTGTACAAATTGCACATGTATATTGTTGATCTTCCTGGTACTATTTTACAGCAAATGGTTTCTGTAGGTATTTTCTGCTTTGCTGCGCATTTACGCTTTAAGATCCGAGATCACAGAGTATAAAAATACAGGGTACATCTTAACCCTTAAATCCCAACCAAGTTGGAGTATATGGTTTAGATTACCCCCAAAAAAATTAGTTAGATCCATGATATAGCCTTAAGGTGGCTGCTGGAAACACAGCATCTAGAATGCAAGCTAGAATGCGCATTTTTCAGATGCAGGAAGACTAACAACACGAAAAATGATTAGGATCGACATATATGGATGGTAGGATAGCTAGGATTCCTTCTTATGATTTGGAATGTATACCATTCTCCACCATCCGGTGAAGAGTGTTATTCAGCATATATGGTATTAGGATATAAGAAATCATCACTGGACACTTATTCCCCTGTTTCTGAAGAAAACATCTGCACCAAAAAATTGCCATCCCCCCTTGAGAAAGATTTAGCAACTATGATTTTATAAAACCAACTTTGTATGGGTTGGAGAAAAAATAAGTCGCTGGAAGGATAATGCATTGCTTGATTAAGACATTACAGATGTAATACGGTTCATTAGCCTTGAGATCAAAAGAAGCCCATTGTCATCGACTGCTCTGATATTGAAGGAGCTCTGTTTTTCTGTTCATAATCGTCCCGTTAATGGATCAGGTGAAATGAACTTATGAAGCTCTGGTGTATTGGGATGATTTTCTATCTCGCTTTCGTCTGTAAACTGTAAAGATCGTTTTAGATTAAGGGTCTTCACCAATCAATCCAACTTTTGGGGAAAAACGAACCAGAGGAATTTGCAACCCGCAGGCGTTGAACCTTTGCACAATTTAATCTGAGGGCACCTTTAATAGGAAGTCTGCACAACAATTCCATCAAGAACCACCCCCAGTAAACTACTGTTCCGATCACTGCCGCCGTCTCTGCCGCCGCTATCCGGCGAATGGCTTTGGGTTTTGAACATTATAGATGTCCTGTTTTTGCGATAAGGCTCCTGGATATTCCAGACCGGGCTTCCACGCTGCATGAATTTAGGGACGAATCTTTTGTTGCTTTGATTTGTAGTAAATGTGTACACTAATTTAGTTCAATTGGAGAAAATAAAAACGAGTGTTGATTGTTTGTGGAAAATTTGATAAATTATGGAATATTGGGGATAATCTGTCATATTTCTCTCTGAAAATATATATATAAAAATCGCCCTGAATTGGGTTGATTGGACTAATTTGGAACGGGTGAAAGCATTCAGGAATCAGGATGAATTTTTTTTTTTTTTTTTTTCCGTTTGTCTAAAAAAACAATAGGGATGAAATTTAATAAATATTAGGGAAGAAAAAGTGAAAAAAAAATATATACGAGCACAACACCAATATTGCCGTTGATTCTTCATATTATTGGTAGGCCAAGCAGATGTTCTTTGACTCATTTCTTGTTGTGTCATGGTTGATGTCCAACTTCATAAGAAGTTGTCTACTTGTCTTGTCTTATTAATTTTAATGAAAATAATGAAACAGAATGATCACGAGAAGCACTTCACAAATGTTATGCATTGATTGTCCGCTTTAAACCAATAATCTTATTTGTTGTACTAACAAACATAACAAATATTATTTTGAAACAAAACCAAAATTAAGTAAAAGAATCTATCGAGGAACAATATGCCTAATATTCGAGGGGAAAAACCAATGAACTTTCGGTTGACAATTGCATTTCTAGACATGGTTAATCGATTGCATTGACCAAGTCGCCACATATATATGTGACAGGCGTTACTTAAGCGAATTTGACCCAGAATATATACTGCCCCCTGATGGCGGAGTGTAGTACCGTAGGATGACTACATTCCACAAATAAATACACGACACATCAGCCATTTTACTATTTTTTATGTATAATACGAGCTTCTAATGTCAAACACGTGTGCCCAGAAGTTTAGGAACTACTAGGGAATAGTAGTAGATTTTACTTGATGGTCACACAAAACGCTTGAATTCAACCAACATGTATCCATCACGGATATTATATAATCTTATTGCGTAGTTATGCCTTATGATTATGACCGGAGAGAGAGAGCACACTAAATGAAACTTCCAACGTACGAAATATAGCAACAGCTGAAGCCTGCCATTACTTAGTCTCCAAGTATTTAGTGTTGAAAAATCTTGGAGTCGGGATATTTCTAGGTGTGACACAATGTGTTGAAAATGGGTTTTTGTGTACACAGTGATTATAAATAGTCTCCATCATTTAGAACCTTAATCACTTCATATTCATTCATAGCTAGCTCACATCTTTAAAGCACTCTTTCGAATCCACACTACTACATTAGACATTTTCATAAACCAAATATATATGGCTTCTATTTGGAGTTTTTTTGCATGTTTTTCATCCGATCCTAAAAGGGTTGGTCGTGAAGGAAAGAAGAATGACAATGCCAGTAATCGTAAACAGCACGTTGAGAAATCGAAGAGCGATAAGTCTAAATCCAAAGGTGCCCCAATCATAATGTCATACTATCCCATCGGAAGCAACGTATCTCGGTTGTAGTTTCCTTCTACTGCAAAAAAAAAAAAAAAACACTGCGATGAAGGCACTCGGAAATCTCTTCATCTGTATTCATATCGATGAACGCAAGAGTGGAGCGATCCAAAACCACGATACTTTGAAGTTACGACAACAATGCCAGGAGCAACATTTCATCTGATTCTCAAAAAGGTTAATGATTTTGTGTGTATGCATAACTATAGCGATTGTTTTTTTGTCTTTTAGCTTGTTGCGATATTAGCCAAGCCATATGTAAATATGGTGTTGCTGTAACTTGTATTGTTTCATTCTGGTGTCTTTCACTAATTCCTAGTGATTTTGTTTTCACATTTTTTTCTCTTGGATCTTGGTATTAGAGCACCTGGGCTAATTAAGATTTTTTTTTTGGGGGGGTCGATGAAAAGTGACTAGTTAATACGTTGAAAACTTTAAGATCTATCATACATCCAATTCAGTGGTAATAAAGACAGTGTTCATTTCAAATTTTAGAACTTTGTCTATAACGAGAACATTTTTGCATTTTTAAATTAAAATTTTCTTTTTCTAGCCAAGGAATAATACGCAGAATTATTTAATGAACTACTTCATCATAACTCCTGATGAAACTAATTCGTAAGACTGTTAGACGTTCTGTTTAAAGATGATGCGACCCAAAGAGAGTTTGGTAAATTGAAAATGGGACTTGAAGAGTTTAGACAACCTCCCGGGTTTTTTTTATTTGATTTTGAATTTTGTACGAATGTAAAGTTTTTTAAAACAATAATAAATACTAGTTTTTATTTAACACCCTAGTTGCTTAAGTGCTCACATTTTAGTTTCCTCAACAAAACGGTAGAAGCATCAAGGAATCGGGAAGACAGACTTATTGGGAATCATCAACGAGCAAAACCAATTAACTAGGAATCGAAATTGATGAGCCTGAATAAACTCAGCAAAATTTGAGTATAGCTTCATAACAAACAAATCCATAATATCCTCAAGTCAATAACAGTAACCAAAATTCAGACTGTCACGCTATTAATTGGACACAAATGTCTGATAAAAACCTAGACAGTGGATAAACAATTAATATCCGCAGCTCTGCAACATATATATATATATATATAAAAGAAGGCGGAATGGAGGAGATCGGCCAAAGTGGAAGAATTTGAAAAACCAGCCACGTTGACTCTTTTTATATTTTCCAAACGCCAGCCAAGTGATTCCAGCCTTTTGGTTTGCATGTTGTACGAGACAAGTTCTCTGTTCCAGCTGAATGTGCCCCAATACAAATAGATAATATCAAATGGATAAAAAGGCGTCCCATTATTAGACACAACCAAGATTTGATCGATCTTGAGAACTTACAGAAAGACTATACTGCTTCTCAATACGGATTCAATCTGCTGAGCAGAGTCTGTATAGATCTATAGGTTCATGCACTAATAAGTTTAAAATGTATGAAAATACCGCATCGATCTAGTTTTAACTCGGTTCTGATGAGCCAAGCTGTACTAATTACACACGTGCCGGAAAAAAATAGTCCAAAATAAATGTGGACTATTTTTACATATTCGAATTTGACATTATAGAAGACAGGCTTGTTTATTAAATTAAAAGCACTACGAAGTAACAAAAGGCCACAAATACAAACCTGATTTATTATGAAAACCTCGCAACAAAAATGTGATGTAACCATTTGTTGTCTCAATGGATGTTGCACTCTCAGTGTACATGAGAGGACCCATACTGATAGCAATCTCGTAGACGAAACAAATTTTGTTAATGCAACCATTAAACAAGAAAGTACGAAGATAAGTTGTCTATCCCGTGAAATTCAAAAGAGTACGGAAAATTCATAGTAAAATGATTGTTTATCTAAGTATTTCTATCTCTTAACTCAAATCAAGCAAAGAATACATAATCTATGAAAGATTCGAATTAAACAACAACCCACACTAAGTATAGCAAGGACACCATTCAATATACTCGATCATTCATCATTCAAGAGACTCAAGAAAGGTAGGAGCAAACAATGCTCAACTATGAAGGAATACTATTGATTAGTAATCTCCATAACCAACAAAGATATGCAACATATATACTATCTCAAAATGCTTATGCCAAAGCACAACTCATCCAACAAAAGTAGGACAAACCCTACAATGGAACTCATGAACACACACATCATGAATTCGAAAACCATAGCCAAAAGAAAGGCTCAACTCTCGAACTACTAGAAGTAGTATGAAAATAAGAAGTTTAGTTTTAAAACAATTCTATCAAGAAGCATATTTGAAAAAGAACGGTTTCTGCAAGATCAAAAGATCCAAGACAAGATGAAAACTCCCTTGGTTAAATCATACTTGACACGAAAAATGGACACACCATTTAACAAAAATTCCTCACAGGAAAAACTCTCATTAGAGAAGACTCAAAATGACCACACATGGGTGCTTTAACTTTCGGCCATACCCCCCCTATTTATAGGCTATGAATTTCGGTCAAAGCAGCAAAAGAAGACCAACTAGGACTCTCTAATCTTATCTCATGCAGGAGTAGAAGTAGAAGAGTATTTGATCTCTTTGACTCTATCTAAAATCTAGGAAACCTTATCTAAATGACTTATCCTCAATTAGGATCATACTTAAAAGGAATCTAAGACTCCTAATCCAAACACTCTAGTTTAATTCAGCCCACATGGCTTATCTTAACTAGATAAACTCGAAAATAACTCCTAGACTAAATAATATTCTAAATCTCAAAAATCAAGCTCCAAATATTGAAGTAAAATTTCTCAAACACCCTTCCAAAAGTGGAATATTGGTCTTGCGCCCCTCAAGTTGTAGAAAACTCCAATTTACTCCAAAACTTGTAGAATTCTCTTTATTGACTCCAAAAAATTGGAAAAATACTTGAAACAATTGAGATAGTTTGCAACCTATCCAATTGTGTAGCAATGAACTCAAACTTGAACTCTTTGATCAAATAGGCCGCCCATTCAAGAACCTAAATGATTCTTCCCTCTAGCTTGATCAATGATCTTCATTGAGCACCTAGAGTCAAACTCCTTTGATACTCTTGAGCACTTATTTCCATGAGTGAATCATCTCCTTTGGTTTGAACCCCAAAGTTAATGACATTCTCATCATCTTGATCAAGCTCCCTTGAACCAACTTCCTATCACATAGGTAGTCAAGATCCATCCTTTCTTCCTTGAATGGCCTGCAAAGTAAACTTGGCATTCCAAAACTAGAATGAAGGACTAGCTCATTCCCCTCACTAGGAGAACCACTATGGAAGGCTATATGATTCTCATCACATACACATCTTCAAGGAAATCGGTCTTTTTCCGCCGCCCTCATTTCTCAAGATGTTCTTAATTTTCAGTAGCTCAGGAGGTGGACATTTGATCCTCGTGTAGCTCTTCTTATTCAAGTTGTATGTATGTAATACCTTGTTTGGACTTATAACCAAAACAACGTCAGGGGAGATTGTAGGTTGAAAAGGCACCAGATTCCCTCGAATAGTAAACAACTTAGTCCAAGAACGCTTCACACCATACTCTTCCATAATGTAAACATCATTATCAATGTCTTGGAAACTGAACTTAGCTTCGGATATGCAAAGGCATCCATATAAAACAGTAAGACAATAATGAGGCCGAGTTTCTTGATGGGCTGATTTTAGGTTGTCAGGGGTTGGCAAATCTTTAAACTGGTTCATCTCCACATCAAAATAGACAATGAACATTGAATAATAACCAGAACGTTTCATGACCTAGTGCAGATGTCTATTCATTAAAAACTCCCCATTCATTTCCCAATTCACAAGGTTCGCTACAATAGGAGCTGAATGCGTAATAAGGGAAACCAATGTTCACTTCGATTTCTTCCGTTCTTAAACTAGCAACACCAGCTCGTCGATCAGACAACCATAACGCTTTGTAATCATTGGAAGATTTGTCGAAACAAAGTCCATAGGCTCCATGATACACAGAAGTGGTATTTTGCCATCGTTCTACCGAATCATTGAGCTTTTTCATCGCGCGGCAGCAACCCGTGGATGGGTTCCATAAGTACATTGCTCGATGCAACTCAAAAAGTATCAATCCGTTACAAGTACCCATCCAAGATGGATGACCAGTGGAATTTGGAAGCTTTACCGCTGAAAGTTTTTCGTTTAATGAATAGAAAAACATCTGATCCCAGTTGACAGGAACTCCTCGGCTGCAAGCTGTATATCCCCAATTGCTCGTTCTCTTCTTCCGGTGCACTGAGAGTCGTCCATGATGTTTGATATAAGATCTTTCCACAATTTACAAACACACTTGCATCGCAACCAAAGCTTCAACGGTAATCTGGCAAGTATCTGGAGAATAATGTCTTTTGGAAGATGAACATCGATCGAGACTGATTTCTTCTTTGCGCTCTCCATCTCTCTCTACTCGTTTGTTGTAAGATTTTTTCTTTCTGCACCGGCGGCGCAATATGTAAAACCTTAATACTCCCTCATCAGTTCTTATATTGTGACTAGAGAGATTTCACAAAATTTTACAAATAAATAAATAAATATATCATGCAAAAATATTAAATTGTCTATGTTAACTCCTAATACAAATTCTATTCCAAGTAAAAGTTTGTTGTTATACTACCTCCAATCAAGCCACACCTAATTGTGTGTTTTATCTCCCATTGATTGGATACACTAGAAAGATGAGGTAGAATATTTTTTCACGTATAGAGTGGGTTCATTAGAAAATTTGGAAAGTGCTTAATTACTAGTGCTACAATTTGCGAAACTTGCCTGATAATATGATCACAGTATGACTAATTAGATTAGCTAGTTTTGTTGAGTCCCATAAACTTGTATTGATTGCCCTCTTGTATTATGACTTAAAAACACAATGGTCGGGTAGGAACCTTGATAATAAATATAATAATGAACCAGGAAAAATGAACCGGTAGTGTAATGTAAGCTAGGCAATTTATATGGTGAACCATGTGTACCATATATGGTACACTTGTCCAATTAATAAAATTTAAACTATAGAATGAAAAATTAAGAAAAATTTATTAAATCAATTCATTCTCTTTCATCATTTAATTTCTCATACTATGCTTTCAAATATAACAGAAACAATGTTCTAATAATTTTTTAACTCTTTCTTCTATTCATAATTACTGACTCTTTCTTCTATTCATAATTACTGACGTAGTTTGAAAATTAGAAACAATTTAAATTTAACAAAAAAATCATGAAATTTTGATATATATATATATGTGTGTGTGTGTGTGATGAAAAATATTACTATAACTAATAAATTTTTCATAGAATGAGTATGAACTATAAATATAAGGATTACCAAATATTTAATTAATATTTTTATGTTCTTTGTATGAAAATTTACATAAATCTCATGAACATTATTTTATATGGGTATGAATATAGACTGCTTATTTGCATTAGTCTTTTTAATTTTCTAAAAGAAATTGTGAAATTTGGATACACATGATATGATATGAAAAGTATCATTGTTATTCATGAATATTTCAGGAAAAGAGTATGAGCATTTATTGTACATATGATTAATCTTTTGAAATTTCTCTAATTTGTATGAACATTTAGCATAATCTTCATGAATAGTCATAGTTGTATGTATGAATAAAAGATTAAAAATATTAGAACCTTTAATTTATAATTACGTGTACAATTTTTTAATTAAAAGATATGAATTTTTTATATTTTTGATATGAAAAATATGTTTATCATTCATGAATTTTACATTGTATGATTATGAACATTTAGTTTTTTGTATGAATAGAAGTATATAAATAAATAAATACTTCTCCCTTTTTGAATTTTTTTCTAATCACGTAATTGGTTTGAATACATGATATATGATATTAAATACGGAAAGAGGATTGACTAATTTAATACTAGTAACATTTTAATTAATAATTTATTCCTTAAATAGCTTCTATTAATTAGACCAGTGCACTATATATGGTGAACTATGTGCACGATATTAGAACTCTGTAAGCAGAGGTGATCGAGCAGATTGTTTTTCAACTTAAGATTAGATAGTCTCATCATTCACTCTTCTTGTTATTATCCGAACTTCGATATGATTAGAATCATGCTTCGACAAAATATCCGTTCCAAGGAAAAAATTCACATGGAGTTTAGAAATTAGTATTTGGGATAGGGAATATGTTTTAAAAAAGAAAAAAAAATTACTTAAATGTGGAAAAACCCCCTTTTTTACGTATTCTAGATGGGAGTAAATTGCACCAGGCCAAGACCTAATTCCCTAAGACAGAGAGTATATGTTCACATAATTGAATACCTATTGATCTTTATTACTCCATTTGTCCCTTAAAATTAGTTCATATTGAGTTTTGAGAGTTGTACGAGTTAGTACAAATTTATAAAAATTCAATGTGAACTATTTTTTTTAGACGAGGGAGTAATGAATTGTTATCCTTTGCCCTAAAATGATGGCATTGTTTGGATAAAGCTCTCTATTGATTTTTTGAAAAAAAAAAAAAAGAAAATAAAGGGAGAAGTTGCCTTTGTAGAACAATTTCTATTTTCATGACAGATCCATCATCTATGGAGGCTTCATGAGAACGGGGCTTTTATAACCCAAAATCGTACATGAATGGTCACGATGCACCCCCACAAATTCACCTAATGGATGTTCAGATGACTTTCAATGTCACTTTCGTCTTTGTGATCCGGAATGTTTCAGGGTGTCCTCCACCAATTAATCAATTCGCCAATAAAAACAAATGAATTTTGCAACCCTATCTGGAGAGATAAATACAAGTGGAAAAAAAACAATCACAGATGTACAGAACGCCATTATTTAGAGACCCAATTGAACCTAAACACATTCTGTAGAAAATAACGGTTTATCTGGAGGACTTTATTGTAATAATGTAGGAAGTTGACTTGATTCCTTATAGTTGACTGTAAATTCAGGGACTGTTTTGTAAAAACTTAGACTAAGTCGGCTGGACTTGGACACCATAAATGCTCCGAATCCATGTCTGATTCAGTATGATGAATTAATACAGATCATAAATTCCCTTCCCAATTTACAATAACATAAACCCTAGATTTCCTACTTTCAATTTCGTATCAAATTCTTTGTCAAAATGATCCTTGTTTATGATTTCTAGATGGTATCAGAGCAGGCGATCCTACTCTGAATCTTTTCATTGCGTTTCATACATCTATTATCTGATTCTTGACAAAATTTGGTCATAATTCTTGATCTTGATAACGGAAAATGGTTGGTACTCGAGGTGCTCGTGAAGCTAGAAGAGAAGAGCATGTTTCTGATGATGAATTGGACGGACATCAGAGGAATGAAGGTGATGCCGTCAATTATGGATGATATGTTCATCCACTTACTTTGCTGTCTTAGGATAATTCTGCTACTATGATTGTTATGTCAACAATTACGTTTCATGGAGTTATGCTATTCGAAGAGCGCTTGGAACCAAGAATAAGCTCGGATTTATCACCGGAGCTTTGCCGTGTCCAAACCCTAGATCACTAGATTTCGATCATTGGAATCGAGTGAATGACTTGGTGGTTACATGGATACTCAATTCTTTGTCTCCAGGAATTGTTGATAATTACAATTTGGCGAATAACGCTCAGGATCTTTGGGAAGAACTGAAAGAAGGATACGGTACAGGGAATGGACCACAGATCTACCATCTCCGACGTGAAATCTGCACATTCCTGCAAGGTAACATGCTTCTGGCTTCTTATTATGCAAAATTGAAGAGACTTTGGGATGAATTGGTTTTAAGTGATCCACTTGATGATTGTGATTGTGGTGGCTGTACTTGTCGTTTTAATCGGCAAACCAGTAAGTACTAGAAAAAATCGTACCAAACTGATGCAATTCTTGACTGGTCTTAATGATATATATATCTTGATGCTTGAGCCTCTGCCAGAAGTTTGGCCCTTTATAATATTTGCACAATATTATGAGATACAATAACTAGCTACGCGAAGTAAATTATTACCTAATCTAACAATGCTAAATGTTTTTAGAATCAAACCCATTTCCCCTCTATAAAAAGAAAAAATAGAGGAACTCGCAAACCTCAGAAAAGCAACAAACGAAAACACAAAATCCATCTCATCACAGGCAACGTTATGAATTCCATAACCACTTTTATGTTGGCCATTTGGCTGATCACCCTCACCTTTTCCATTAGTGTCCAGGGCCAGGGGGCCGATGCCGGGCTCGGGATCAATATAGGGGTCGGTGGCGGAGCCGGTGCAGGTGCAAGTGGCGGAGGCGGTGGCGATGGCTGCGCGCCTGGGATCAATGTCGGGTTCAACGGCGGATCAGGGGATTTGCCCGGTGCAGGTTTTGGATTCGGGTTCGGGGCCAATGCTGGGGCGGGGCTGGTGCCGGTGGAAATGGTTGGTCTGGGGGAAGGTGAGATTACAAAAAGCCGACCACTGTGTGTAACGAAGAGCAATTAATGGCAACTCCGTCTGGCTGGTTATGTATATCTTTGTTTCTGCGCTTCTTCCCACGCACTTCTTTTCTTAAGGCATCTATATCGACCATTCTGGTCTGGTTATTATTACCTACTTTATGTACCAAAATAAATACTCTTCCATTTCAAAATTATTGTCCAATTAGAGTTTTTATTTTTTAATCAAATTGTATTAAAAGTAAAATCTCAAACCAGTTGGGCAATAATTTTGAAACATAAGGAATATCACATTTGTCGACGGAATTTACACCTGATAATGATGAGTAAAATTATTTTCTTTCTCTTTAAGTCAACACGATATGAATTTTATCCCAGCAGGAAATGGATTGAAACTTGGTCATTTCAAACTTCCTTTTAGATCCACACACGATTCACAATTGGAAATGACTGGTTTACTGGTTTAACTAGTCGAGAATGAAGCATCTAATATCTCCAAACAAAAGGTGACGGAAATCAAACTTACAATTAAATTAATGACATTGTTGACTCTTTGTTATAGGTAAACCTACATCTTCTGCAATGATTTTTTCATTCATGCTCCGTCTTAGCTCACAAATTGTTGCAGACATGCAAACTGGCCTTAAAAATGTAGAAGGAAAATATAGGTCTCCAATCTATGAAATGGAAGCGCGGCAGATTGAAGTGTTTTGATTGATCTAAATATATGCTTTGGTTTAGGTTATGCCATTAATTGAATAGGTAAGAAAATAGACCAGCATAGAGTGATATTAAAAAGTAAACGGGCTAAGTTGTAGGTTATCCACGTTAGATCTTACGGCCGGCATAACAATTTTATTTGTATCAAATAAGAATATAATCAAATCCATAAATGGCCCTACAATTGATCATTATTTTATTTGTTTTTTGTTGAACTACAATTGATCATTATTGATTCAAGCCTTTGAACTTTCACTTTTAGTTCATAATAATTTTAGGAAGGAAGGAGTAGTATATATAAAATTCAAAAAACGAAGTAAAGCCCTTCATACGAAAATTGGAACTACAGCCCTGATACTGTTCAAACAAGATATCAATACTCTCACAAAATTCGACCTATGTCACTGATAAATTAAGGTATGCCTGGTGGAATATCATCAACTCGTCTTCAACATAAGAGAAGGCGGGATGGAGAAGGGCCAAAGTGGAAGCACCCGGAAGAACCAATCCTGCGCATACCAATAAACTGTTTCCAGTCTCCTAGTTCGTACGTTGTAGGACACAAATTCTTCGTTCTCCTTTCCCCAATGTACATAGATTAAGTCTCGATCAAATGGATGGAATGATGCGAATCGGGCACGCTCGCTTAGCTGCCAATAATCGATGTCTTGAGTCCTGATTGTATGCTCAAGGCGCCATTGATGGTCGCCCCCGAGTTCCCATATTTTTAAGCTCGTCAAAGGAGATTCTTCTTCTTCTTCCTCTTCTATGGCACCATAACCATTGATGGTCGCCGGCGTGTTAATATTTTCGAAAAATCTGAGGTGCCGATTGGGATGATAATACACACAGGAACTGGAGACCGCAATTCTCCTTCACCAAGTGGAGGAAGATTAATAAAACCAGCATTATTATGATCCATGTATGGATCATAGGATAGGATTCCTCCAACGGATTCGATTCCTCCCGACTCCACCTTCCAGTAAAGAGTGTTATTCACTAGGATGCAACCGGAAATAATCAGAACCGGACGTTCACAATGTACCCTGAACTCTTGCCATTTTCCCTGTTTCTGAAGAAAACATGAGCACAAGCAACTTCCGAAACTTGTATCTTGTCATCAAGTTATAATTAACTAGTATGACTTTATAACTCGTCAAAACTCCACCGTCGGTTTGTGTAATCAGAGCTAAACTGTATTCCATTGCCAAACATGTGATCTCAGGAAGGACAAGGCATTGTTGGGTTATGATCTATGTTACATGGATACGGGTGTCATATCGTGTTCGGGGATTTAAGTGTCCAGACTCGTCAATATTTTAGAAATCTTTGACATTTTAGACTAAAATGCCACACCCGACACTCATACCCACACCAGTATCGACACGACACGACACGGGTATTCTTCCCAAATAGAAGAGTCCGGGTAACATAGATTATGATGTTGCAGATGTTAAATTCAGTACTTCCGTAAGTACCATGCTTTTGGCTTTCGACTAAAACGAACCCGTTGCGATCGGATGCCCTGATACAGAGGCTCCCGGGCTGCCCTGTTGTTAACCGGGCTCTCCTCAGCGAATTGGGTAAAACGAATTCAAAGTATTGCGGGTTATCAATTCTTTCATCAGTATCATCTTTGTCGTAGGCAAAACGGTCGTCATCGATCCATTCGACGACCTGGGTAGGAAAGTAGACGAATCGGCAACCCGCAGACGGTGAACCCTTTTGGTGCTGGGAATGGGAGGCATAAAACTTGGGGAAAAAGGGATCAGAGATCACCGAACGCCACTGTCTTGACACACAATTCAACCTTATCACAGCCTTTATGGATAGCCTTCCCAGGCTCCCAGCAACTCGCACAAAAACCACTCCGGAATATAAGTATCCTGATCAATACTACCGCCGCCGCCGATAATTTGGACGGAATCGGATTTCTTCTTCCCGGACTCGTAGATCTTTTCTTTCCGCGACGTCGACGTCGAGGCTTCTTCTGGAAATTCATCATGACCCTCTTTTTCTAATTCTTCTTCTACGTTTTGTATTTGAGAATTACTCTCTCTGTCCCAAAATTATGATTCAGTTTTGATTTTCTGTATAATTTGAACTAAACCTAAAAATCCAAACTAGACAATAATTTTAGGACGGATGGAGTAATTATAATCACTGAAGAATTAGACAGCTTGGTACATTATTAGGTTAATATAATATGGAACCGAATTTGGATCCACACGCCGTTCTTTGTATTAGGGAATATAATAGGGACTAAAACTACAAAACAGGTAAAAGATGACTGTTGATGACACAGGTTAATATGTTATTGACTTTTTGTTTACATATCGATACAGATGACAGTAAATTGTTAACAAAACAAAATACTTCCTGAAAAAAGAAAAATTGCTAATGAACAATGGTTTGAAAAAAATGTCATTGCTAGTGAATTTCAACCTATCGTTAAAATTAGATCATCAAAATTATACGGAGAAAAAAGAAGGTTGAGAGAAGGCAAAATGCCATTGTTTGAAAGGCAATTGAACCTTTACAAAGACAGCCTTCACAGGAAAGTCTGCACAGCAATGCCAATGACTGAAGGTAGAATAGTTTCCAAGAATATCCTGATGTTTTCGTTTTAGGAATCTTTGAGATTATATTCTGATTAAAAAAAATTTCTTATACTACCAAAAAAATAGTCCACATTGAGTTTTCGAATTTGTACTAAAAACAGTACAAAACTCAAAATTCAATGTGGACTATTTTGTGGGACGGAGGGAATATTAAATTTATTCTGGGGAAAGAACAAATAATTGAACACAAGCATCATGTATTAACTTTCAAGACTTCTCCCTTAGGGCATGTTTGCAAGAACTATACAAAACATCCTGGCGGTTTCAGAGTCCAAATGTCAAGTGCAATTTGCTCTGCTCATCATTGGCGGTTTCGAATCGATTCAGTACTTATGTCAATCGACAGGCGAATCAAATGATGAGGTACATAATAATAATAATGAGTATGATGACCAGACCGCCATTATGAGACGACGGGAAGACAACATATTTGATTTTAAAAACTTCGTGACTTACTATTTCTGAACAATTTTTTTCCCCACCTAAATGATCAGAATTCCTAGATCACATAAACTGAAAGATCCTAAGCAGTATGCGCACACTCTATTAATCTTTCGTGTGTGTAGGCTAATCACAATTAAAGTTGGTTATCAAACATTTTCACTTTGATGTGAATATCATTGCTCTTTTGAACGTATAAGTGATGTTACTATAAGTAGTTATACCATGAGTCAGGGGATCCAAGCTGCTGGTGATAGTATGATTAGTATCAGAACCATCTGTTTAAGGAGTGGATGTTATAAAGCTGTTTTTGAAGAACAAGTGAACCATAGCTCACTGGTTCATCTCAATGGTTCTCGATGGTAATCTCAAAAAAAAAAAAAAAATAGGAAACCAAATCGCTTCATATCAAGCAAATGATGTCCCCTGTCCGACAGAAACATACTTAATTTGCACGTCGAAATCTCCAAGTCGACATTTGTATCTCCGCACGCCCCTTTTCCTTTGCCTTTATCAGGAACAAAAAAGAAGAACAGCATTCAATTTGTGTGACAACATTGATGTCCAGCATTTATTTGAAGCACGAGGAATTAATAGATTCAAGTGATACAGAGAATCAATTAATCACTAGTTTCAACAAAAGATTAATGTTCCTAAACTAGGTTAAAGTTTAAGATAGAACCACAATGAAAAACGCCTTAATTTATGATAACAAAATTCCGGCAATCAGACCTAAATTCATGACATATAATGAACATCATTATTTTCAGCTCCTAATAAACTTCAAAGAAGGTGAAAGGGAGACGGGCCAAAGTGGAAGAACTCGAAAGAAAATTTTTCCGGAAGGCCAATGAAGTGATTCCAATCTCTTGGTTGTTATTTTTTTTATGCCGATGGACATCCCCAATATAAATAGATTACATCTGGATCAGATGGATGGACCACAAGCTATCATCATTTTTCTGTAAAGAGAATTGGGTGGGTAAGATTTGAGAGATTAATACGAGATGACACGAGTATACATCATGAGCAACTGGGAAGCATGATTATGGAACAGTGAGTCAATTTCAGACTACAAGAAACTAGGAAATGTTCGTATCATCTAAGAATAAAGGAACATAACAATCATGGTTTGGCCTGAAATTCAACAAATTTTTAAAACTAAGCGACACTGATGAATAAGGTCAGTCCCTTGTCAATATAAGACAAGGCGGGATGGGAGATGGGCCAAACTGGAAGAGCTCGAAAATACCAATTCCCCTTGCTTGGTTCCTCATCCCTAGTCCAATAAATGAAGTCTATTCTTCTAGTTTGTATGTTGTACGAGACAAGTTCGTTGTACACTCCCCAATATAGATGGATTACATCTGGATCAAATGGATGGAATGACGCGAATCGGGCAGACTTGATTGTCTGCCCGTACTAAGTCTTTCTGCCAAAGAGAGTATCTTCAAACCGGATGGCATGCTCAAGGCGCCATTGATGATTATCCTCCAGTTCCCAAATCTTGAAACTCGTCAGAGGAATATCTTCTCCTTCTACGGCACTGCCCTTGTCAATAGTTTCAAATCTGAGTCGCCGACCTTGTGAATCAAAACAGGAACTGGAACGCCGGCGTTCTTCCTTCCCTGAGGAGAGGAAGGTTAATAAAATGAGAATTACTAGGATCAAGGTAGGGATCATAGGACAGGATTACTTCTTCATAGTATTCCATTTCTCCAGCATGCACCTTCGAGTAAAGAGTGTTATTCACGACGATGCAATTGGAAGAAATCACAACTGGGCGTTCACTATGTACACCGAACTCTTGCCATTGTCCTGTTTCCGAAGAAAACATCTGCGCAACCAAATCCCGATCAAATCGAACTAGTATTATAAATTTATAACTTGTCAAAACTCCATCTTTGGCTTGTGTAATAAGACCTAATCCTAAACTGTATGTGTTAGGCAAATGTTTAATCTCAGGAAGGATAATGCATCGCTGGGTTATGATATTGCAGATGTAAAATTCAGCAGCAATGCTGTAATTGCGTTGCTTCTTTCGGCTTTCGACCAAAACGAACCCTTTGTCATCGGCTGCTCTGATACAGGGGATCGGCCGTCCTTCGATTTGTAATCGTTCCCTCAGCGTATTGGGTAAAACAAATTCGAGATAATCCGGCTTACGGATTTCGGAATCACCTTCGTCGTCGCTAGAACGGTTTTTAAATATAGGGTCTTCTTCGTAAATCGATTCGACCCTGGTAGGAAAGCAGACGAATCGGTAACCCGCAATCGTTGAACCCTTTTGGTGGTGGGAGTGATAATAACTGCGCAAAAAGGGATCAGAGATCACCGAATGCCACTGTCTTGATACACACAATTCAGCCTGGATACATTCTTTAAGGGAAGTCTTCCCAACAACTCGCACAAAAACCACTCCGGAATAAAATTATTCTGATCACTACTACCGCCGCCGCGATGGGCGGAATCGGTTTTCTTCTTCCGGGCTCTGTAGATCTCTTCTTTCCGCGACGTCGATGCCGGCGTCGAGGCTTCAGGAAATTCATCATGACCATCTAATCACTGAACAATTCTATTGTTGCTAAGGCAAATTAGGAACTTAATTAGTAATTTGAAAGGTTTTAAAAAGGATTGACGACTACGACGGCGGAGGCGCGGAGCTGTATTAATGATGTTTTTCAGACAATCTTTATGCCATTGCTTGTATTAGCTAATACAATAGGGACTAAAACTATAAACTAGATTAATAGAGTAGTAGTAAAGTACTAGTATGTATTCTTTTTTAGCCATGATGACGCATGTTTATATTGTTCACGTTGTGTTTACATATTAGATATACAATACATATCTTTGGTTAACTAAGCAAATTACTTTCTTAAAAATCTAGTGGTTTGAGACAGTGGCTAGAAAATGTCGGAGGGGGATACAAGACAGTGGCTACAAGACAGTGGTTAACCGCAATCTAGCCACTGTTTGATGCCACTGTCTTGATACACAATAATTATATCGGAGGGGGGCAGATTGCCATTGGTTTGGGATGTAATTGAACCTAATTAAAGGCAGCCTTACTCAGAGGCTGCAAAGCAACTCAGACAAAAATCGCTCAGGAATTATAAACAATTTCATGGGATGTGCTTTCGATTCTGGACAATGTAAAATCTTCGAGGCTGCTGGATATTCTCGACCCATCTTCCACTTCTCATCCTCAAATTTTCAGAAGAACAGCAGCAAATTAAGCAAATTGAATCGGACTGAACAGGAGGCTAGAATTGTACAGACTCAAAGAGTTCAGGTTGTTCTACCCCTAGATTTGCACAAAAATCTAGTGGTAATGGTGGGAATGCTAGAACAGCAGCAAATTAAGCAAATTGAATCGGACTGAACAGGAGGCTAGAATTGTACAGACTCGAAGAGTTCAGGTTGTTCTACCCCTAGATTTGCACAAAAATCTAGTGGTAATGGTGGGAATGCTAATATATTTGCAAAAGTAAAACCATATACTTCATCCAGAAAATGTTAGGAGAAATAACTTCATCCAGAATTATGTAATCTAACTTCACGAATATTTTAGTTTTAGGAATTTCTCAGATGATTTTGATGAGTACCATTTCTATATTATGAATTGTGCGGGGAGAAACCAAGCATCGAACATAAAAGGGAAAACTGAACTTCCAAAACAATTTCTGTGAAGATTTCCTGTATGAACTTTCAAGACACCTCCCCCTTAAATGCGTGTTTCTCGGACAACATGCGATATGAAGGGAAACAAAACAGAAAAAAAGAAGAGAGAGCATGTTTGTTGGACCTCTAACCAATGGTCAAGATGGATCAGATCCAAATGTCAAATGCAATTAGCTCAGCTCAGCTCTGCTCGTCGCTGAGTGTCTTGCTGAGAGATGGAAATCATATCAATCAGCAGGCGAATAATTAAAGCAACCCAATGCATACTATACAGAATCAGCTACACTGCATAAAGTCATTATATTCTTCTTGACTTCAACGAAATTGCAACGATTTTCCAGCTTACGAAGCAGCAGTATACTATAGATGCTCTGATGAACAGGCAGCCATAAGATCGACAAGACAAGGAGACAACACATTTGATTTTAAGAACTTAGTGAGAATGACTACAGTGTGCTATTGAAAAGTGTATTTCTGAATAAATTTGTTGTGAATGATCAGAATTTCCTGAACGAGGGGATCACATAAAATGAAGCCATACGCATCTACTAATCCTTTTGCACTGTGGCTAATCGCCAATCAAAATTGATAATCAAAGCTTTCACTGTGAATATTATTGCTCGGTTGGACATACTATTGTGATGTTATTGAATACCATTCAGGGAATCCAAGCTATTTTTGGTAGTACAGCTGTAGAAGAACCATCTTAACTCTAAGGATTGGATGTTTTAAAGCTGCTACTAAGGAACAAGTGATCGCATATCAAGATGGTAATCTCAAATGATAGGAAACAAAATCCCTTCACATCAAGCAAATCCCCTGTCCGATAGAACCAAACTAAATTAGCATGCCGACACCTCCATATCATAGCAACCCTCGCATTTTTTTTTCACACACCCCTTTCCCATTGCTTGTGGAGTTTACCAACAGCCTTGTTTTTAAGTTCTGACAGCTATGATGATGGTATACCTGAACTATGCTGAAAATTCAGATTTTGGTGTTTCCAACTCACAGGGGATTCAGCCTCTGATATCCTAGTAGGAAAGGGAGAACTTAGATTCACTACTACAAACAACCAATCTAATTTTCAAGGATTGTTTTGTCTCAAGAGAGTAGAAAATAGCATCATTCAGGAATTTCCACTGTATTCCCAAAACATTTATCCAAGAAGAAACCATGTCGACTCCTATACTTTGGTTATCATTCAGTGTTGGCTTGTTACGACTAATTAATGCAAACATTTCCGTCTTCTTTATCAGGGGAAAAACATCATAAACTGAGTTGACAATTCATGCATTTTTATGACTGCTTGATGTCCAGCATTGATTCTAAGCAAAAAGAACTATATCCAGTGCATCATAATCACTAGTTTGATCTACTTTTCAACCTTCATATCTATGGAGAAACAAAAGAAAGATTAACTTTCCTGAACTTGGACAAAGTTTAAGATAGAACCACAACCCTATAAATATGCAAATGCAAAATGCTTAATTCAAGAAAGAAACTACCTACGGTCCAACCTAAATTCATGACATTATGATACAGCATCATCTTCAGCTCCTAATAAACTTAAGAGAACCTGGAATGGAGATGGGCCAAAATGGAACAACTCGAAAGAGAAATTTCGTCCAGGAATGTCCTTCCTTCCAAGATGACCAATTCAGTGATTCCAACCTCCTGGTTGTCATGTCGAATGACATGATGCCCTTGGATGACCCCCAATATAAGTAGATTACATCTGGATCAAATGGATGGAAGGATGCGAATGCAGCGGCATATTTACTCGAGTAGAGGAAACCATCATCACCATTAGGAGAACTTGGAAACATAATATCTTCAAACCTGATATCATGTTTAAGGAGCCATTGATGATGGTTATCCTGGAGTTCCCATAACTTCAGTCCCGCAACAGCTCCATCTATGCTTGCTTCAACATTTTCAAAAAACCAGAGCTTTTCACCTTGATAAACAAAGCAACTGTTATTACATTTCCTGAATCTTCTAAACAACGCTCTCGGAAGAGCAATGTAGCGGAAACGATTAAGATGGGAATAAGGATCATAGGCTATGATTCCTCCATTCTCATCCATCCAGTGAAGAGTATTGTTTAGGACAACAGGTGCTCTGCCATTATACACAAAACATGGACGATCACCACTCACTCTCAAGTCTATCCATTTCCCTGTTTCTGAAGAAAACAACTGCAAATCAAAAAACTCCTGATTGTATGGCCAAACAAGGACTACCACTCGGAAGCTAGTCAGAATTCCATCTTTTGTCTGTGTAACAAAACCAACACTGACGGAGTATTTTAAAATCTTATGAGCAGGGAGGAGAAGCCACTGCTTGGTTATGGCATTACAGATGCAAAATTCAACAATAATTGGCTTAACAGAAGGCCTTTCCCTGGCGATCAAAAGAAATCCGTTGTCGTCGGCAGCTTTTATGCAGAAGCTCTGATTCTCTTTCGATGATAACCTTCCTCTCAGGGCTCTCGGTAAAGTAAACCTCTGAAGCTCTGGAGACCCCGGATGACTTTCAGTCGGAATTTGGCCGGTGATGAACGTTTTGGTATCTGGGTTCTCATCAATCAATCCAACTATTGGGGAAAAACAGACGAATTTGTGACCTGAAGACGGTGAACCCTGCCGGCGGGAGAGATAGAAAGTGCGAAATCTCGGGTCGGAGATGACGGAACGCCATTGTTTTGAGACGCAATTGAACCTAAAAACAGCCTTAAGAGGGAGTCTGTACAGCAACTCATACAAAAGCCACTCATGAAAATAAGTGTTCTGATCACTGCCACCGGTGCGGCGGCGGCTGCCGCCGCTGCTATGGGCTAATGTGCCTCCGGTTCCGGGCTGGGCATATCTTCGGTGGTCCTGGATATTAACGGCCCTTCTCATCTTCAAATCTAACGGAGAACATATGCAAGTAAATCGAAACTGAATTGAAATGGATTTAAACAAGAGACGAGAAGAAATATGACGACTGAAGAGTTCTGGTGTTAGGGTAAAAAAGAAAGCAAACTTTGAAAAGGGCCGGAATGCAATAAAATAATTATAGTTAAAAAAAAAAAATCATATATTTCATCCAATTTTCTTATAGGAAGATAATTGAGAGAGGTAGAAAAATAATTTCCATGATTATCTCGACTTCTTAAAGATGATTTCGGATTTCTTTCTTTTTTTCGGATGATATTTCTTAGGCAAGTTCGGGAATAAAATTGAAACTTATGTTTTTACTCCAAATGCTTGTTGACTCAAGTCTCTCTTTACTAATTAGGGAAGTAAATGTAAATGGGTCAGATGTTCAATCAAAAAATATGGATGAAACGTTTATCTAAAACTATAGGCACCGGTAGAAATTGAAACATCCTATTTTGATGGGTACAAAATATTAAACAAAAAATATTATTAGCAGTATCTTAGAAAAATAGTTCATTTTAAATTTTATCTCCAGCAACCGTGGAGCACTTGGCGCGCTCTGATCAGGTCTTCTTTGAAATGGATTACCGCATTTTTTGGCAGCCGACTTGCCGAGTCGGTGTTCGAGCCGAGTCTGATAAGACTGATAAAATCACCATATGAAGTCCTTCGAACCAGGAAACCTAAATAGGGAGTATTAAGAAATTTGTGGCTTCATTTTATTCCCCTTTGAATTTTATTTTCTCCTGGAAACTGATCAATAGATTGTTCCCAATAACTTATTAAAGCATCACAATCTGAGTCCATGAGTGTTAGGGGTGATAAGGATGATTGGAGGCATAAGGCGTCAAATACTCAGCCTGATCAAGTCTATTAGTAACAAGTCTATTAAAGTGTAATTCACTAGAGTTTATTAATTATCCTCATTCATATTTCGCTTGGTATTAGAGCAGGTTTCGACCTGTTTCTACCCTTGTTCACAAATCATGTCTTCCGCCAATACTTCGATGTCTCTAAACGTCGGAAATTTCGTTACTTTAAAGCTTTCTCAAACAAACTACCCACTATGGCGATAACAAGTACTTGCTCTAGCCGAAAGCCAAGAGGTTATTGATCACCTCACAAATCAACCTCCAGCAAATCCCCAAATCTCAGTTTCGGACAAAGACAAAGTCACATCTAAGTCCGTTCAAAAATTTATGTCATGGCAAAAGTCCGATCGCCTTCTTCGAGGGTGGATTTTTGGAACTTTCTCCGAAGATTCCTTAGGACTTGTCATTGGGCTTGACACTGCTTATAGTGTTTGGATAGCCCTCAAAGACGAATATGCAAGAGACTCAAGAACGATAGCTCACAACTCTTCAACAATTAACTTATCTTCGTAAAGAAAAAAGCAAAATCCTTGCTGATCATATTCGTATCTTCAAAGGGTTATGCGACAGTCTTACAGCTATTGGCAAACCAGTCCCAGAACAAGAAAAAGTTTATTGTCTTTTTAATAGTCTTGGACCACAGTTTGAGACTTTTACAACCACCAGGCTTAAACCGCCACGTCCAACATATAAAGAGCTTATTTCTCAGCTTCAAAACCTTGATCAAAGGAGAACTTGGTTTTCTACTCAGACTGAAAGTGCTATGTCTACCCACGTCCCACATCTGGCTTTTTACAGTCAACAACAAATGTCGGCAAATAATTCTAATTCTAAGAATTTTAATTTTAACTCACAAAGCCGTGGTTTTACAGCACAACAGAATCGCTCCTTCAATCAGAATCAACAGCAGCGCCAATTTCAGAAAAATGGTTCCTCTCACAAGTTCGCACCACCAGGCAAAAGAAGCCTGACAAGTTCAGAAAGAGAGTTGTATCATAATGAGACTTGTCAGTACTGTGGACGTCCAGGGCATATCGCCAAAATTTGTTGATGGATCCCTAAAGGATCAGATCAAGCAATACCTTCAGCAAATCTTCCTCAGGCTCTAGCAACTCTCACACTAGATAATTCTGTTACAGATCATGAGTGGTTGTCAGATTCAGCTGCAACAAACCACATGGCTGGAAACTCATGAATGATTTCTAATATTCGTCAATTCAAAGGTTCAGATTCAGTTATTATCGAAGATGGATCCTCGATTCCTATTGCAGGTATTGGTGATTCTAGTATCAAATAGAAAAATAGTATTTTAGAATTGCCTAATGTACTTTTCGTTCCCGACTTGAAAAAAAAAACTTGTTATCCATCAGCCAATTAACCTCACAATCTCCGGTAAATTGTGAGTTATCTAATGTTGATTTTTTTTATAAAGGAACAGAAAACAGGTCGTTTACTCATGAAGAGACGCAAGAAGGGTGATTTATATACCATTTCCAACCAACCGGAGGCACATTTCTCGTATCGATTTAAGTCCGGTAGCGTCGATATTTGGCATCAACTTTTAGGTCACCCTCAGGCTTCTGCCGTTCAAAGACTGAAAAATAAAGGCCTTATTCATGTTGTTGGCCCTTCAAAATTAGAACATCTTTGTGACAGTTGTTAGTTAGGCAAGCTTAGTTGTTTTCCATTTGAACTTTCTCATCATCGATCAATTTCTGTTTTTGACAATATTTATTGTGATCTTTGGGGACCTTCCCCGGTTTTATCTATTAATAAATTTCAGTATTATGCATGCTTAGTTGATGACTACTCTAAATACACGTGGTTCATTCCATTAAAACAAAAATCTGATTTTTTTTTCAGCCTACTTAGCATTCGAGAAATATATACTTCTACAATTTAACCAAAAAAAAAAAATATTTCATTCGGATGGCGGTGGTGAATTTATCAATTCTCAACTTACTTCACACTTTCTTGCTACAGGGACTATAATCAAATTTCTTGTCCCTATACTCCTGAACAAACAGGAGCTGTTGAAAGACGCCATCGAGTAATTAGGGAGCTTGGGATGACTATGTTATTTCATAGTCATTCGCCCCTTTACCTGTGGGTGGAAGCTTTTGCAACGGTAGTTTTCTTGATCAATCGACTTCCGTCGTCGGCTATTGAGTTTGCAACACCTTATTTCATGCTCTATCGATCTCATCCCGATTATTCTTTTCTACGTCTCTTTGGCTCAAAATGTTTCCCTATACTTGGGATACAAAGAAAAACAAGTTTGATCCAAAATCTGTTTGGTGCATTTTTGCAAGATATAGCAAGAAGTACAAGGGTTACAAATGTTTCGACCCGGTCTCTCAAAAATTTATCATCTCCCGCAATGTTGTTTTTTATGAGTCCAGCTTCCCTTTCAAGAGCCCCACCGCAAACCCTAGCCAGTCTCAAATTTTGAGTATTTTTTACTCCTGGTTGGTTTCTGCTTCTTTGTCGGCTAATTTACCTTCTGATGTTGTGTCTGCAGAATCCAGGACTTCCAATTCAATTCCACTTCCTGATGTGCATCCTGCCCCGACTGATCTTTCACCTCCCTCGTCTACTACGACTCCCATGTTGAACTCATGTCCCTCACTTCCTGATCAAACTGTAATGTCCACCTCCAGTCCTACTTCTTCAGCTGATTCTGTCTTATCCGAGTCTTCCTCTTTTGAATCTTTATTAGAGTCAGCCTCTCCCATCCCTGTCCAGCCAGTCTATCGCATGACTACTTGTTCTCAACTTGGTATCACAAAACCAAACCCTAAATATGCTTTAACTGTCACCGTCTCCCATACTATCCCTCCTGAGCCAATGTCTGTCAAGGCTGCTCTTCAACATCCGGGGTGGCACGCTGCCATGATGGATGAATTAACTGCATTGCATCAAAACCAAACTTGGATTCTTGTCCCTCGCCAGCCACATATGAACGTTATTGGCTCTAAATGGGTTTTCAAATCCAAATTGAAACCGGATGGCTCTTTGGATCCTCTCAAAGCTCGTCTCATGGCCAAGGGGTATCATCAAATTGATGGCATCGACTACAATGAAACATTTTCTCCGGTCATCAAACCAGGTACAATTCGTTTAGTAATCACGGTTGCTCTTACCAATCGATGGCCGATTCGTCAACTCAACGTTAAAAATGCCTTCCTTCATGGCTTTATTGATGAAAATTTGTTTATGGAGTAACCTCCAGGTATGATTAATTCTCATCATCTGCTTCATGTTTGCAAACTTCAACGAGCTGTTTATGGCCTTAAACAAGCTCTGAGAGCTTGGTTTGACCGCCTTAGCATTCTTTTGCAGCTTGGCTGATCCATCTTTGTTCATCTATCATTCGCATCAAGATACCATTGTTTTATTAGTCTACGTTGATGACATACTACTAACCGGTTCTTCTCCTTCACTAGTATCTTCTTTTCTCAGGTTACTAAATCATGAGTTCTCAATGAAGGACTTGAGGAGCATCCATCATTTTCTTGGCGTTGAAATTTCTCCCACACCTGCTGGTTTATGCCTGTCTCAAAGTCATTATGCATACTCAATACTTGATAAAGCTAACATGCTTGACTGTAAACCAATGCCGACCCCTCTTGAGTCTTGCCTCAATGTTCCAGAATCCGCATCTCTTGGTGATCCAAGTTCGTTTCACAGCATTGTCGGCGCTCTCCAATATCGCATGCTCACTCGTCCCGATTTGGCCTATAGTGTGAACTATGTCTCTCAATTCATGCATTGCCCTACCGTAGCTCATCTCAAACTGGTTCAGTGCATCCTTCGCTATGTTAAGGGCACAATTCATCTCAGTCTTCATCTCACTGCCGCACTAAATCTCCAACTTTATGCATTCTCCAACGCGGATTGGGCTTGATGTCCGTCAACTCGTCGCTCTACTACTGGTTATTGCACCTTCATTGGTTCAAATATCATCTCTTGGTGTGCAAAAAAATAACACTCAGTATCTCGATCTAGCACCGAAGCCGAATATCGAGTTATGGCCAATACAGCCGCTGAATTAACATGGCTCACATATTTGCTCAAGGATCTTCGTGTTCCTACCGTCTCTGCTGCTCCTGTTCTCTATTGTGACAACATTAGTGCATTATTCATGACTATCAATCCTATCTTCCATGCCCAGAGCAAGCACGTTGAGCTGGACTATCACTTTGTACGGGAGAGAGTTGCGCTTGGCTTACTTGTTACTAAGTATGTTTCGTCTTCCAACCAGGTAGCTGATATTTTCACAAAACCAGTTCAGCGGACCATGCTTCCCTTCTTCATTAACAAACTGTGCCTTTGTCCCCGGCTCAGTTTGAGGGAGAATATTAAAGCATCACAATCTGAGTCCATGAGTATTAGGGGTGATAAGGATGATTGGAGGCATAAGGCGTCAAATACTCAGCCTGATCAAGAGATAAATTTACTTAGTAACAAGTCTGTTAAAGTGTAATTCACTTGAGTTATCTATTATCCTCATTCACAGCAAACTATCATCAGATTACGATTATACTTCCTGTTATAGTGAAAGTCTTATTAGTAGTTATCAGGAAAGCTTCAAGTCTAGCAATAGTCTATATATATATGATAGTTCTGTGTACTCAAAAGTTACGATCAAGATAATAGAAAAAGGATAGTTAAGTTGTTTTTTACTTTTGTCTTCTTCGTGAAAACAGTTTTTCTTTAATCAAGGTTTTAAAATAATCTTCATATTTTCGCTTAACTGAAATTGTGATCTCCTTTGGAATTCATGCTAATCCATCTATATGCTCTTTGTGTAGGAATGACGTGGACTCTATTCAGCATGTGTTCATCGATTACCGAATTGCCAAGTCAATTTGGACATACGTCTCGCACTTACTCCACATTGAATTGCACCCGAGTCCATCACTTTGGCATAAGATTCAATCTTGGTGGACATTTGGTAGTTTTACTCAGCAAGGAAAGTGGCAATCATGGTAGCACCATTTTTCATTCTTTGAGAAATTTGGAAGGCTCAAAACAGCTCTATTTTTTACGGGATGAATCTTTTTTCAACACAGATCCAACATTCAGTATTTTATCACATCAGGATCCTTCTAATAGTTCACTCCCCACCAGTACGGACAAGTTTGGAACAAACCTTTATGGCATCAAGATTTCCTAATGTTAAGCTTGTTCAGAAGTGAAGAATCATCAAGGTAGTAAGCTGGAAGCGGGCGCAGCAAAATGAAATCATTTTAAATACAGACGGCTCCACCCTACATGAAGAAAAAGCTTCTGGCTATGGTTTTGTGATTCGAGATCATCACGGCTCCTTCATCTATGGTGAATCTAGTTTTATTGGACAAGGAGATAGTATCTTAGCAGAAATTAGTGGTCTCCTCTTTGGTTTAAGAAGATATTGGATAATGAATCTCTAAAACGTTGAGATTCAAACTAATAACCTCACACTTGCTTCGCTTATCCAATATGACCGTGAGCTTCCTTGGCGCTTCCTATTAGACCTTCAAGAAATTAAATTCCCCATCCACAATCTGAATTACTCCATTATGCATGTTTTTCATGAAGCTAATATCGTTGCTGATAGTCTCGCAAATTTGGCCTCCTCTGGTCTTTCTAGATGTTTTCACGAATTTAGGTCACTTCCTCCTATCACGAAAGGTCTATTAGCTTTAGATCAACAAGATTTCTCATATCTTACAATTAGATAAATGGTAAGTCGAAAGCACTGCCATTCTCTGTAGTTAGAATTTCTTTTTTAACACATCGGGTTCCAGATTAAACCTTAGTTTCAAAAAAAAAAGTCCATTTTGAGTTTGGAGATTTATATATTAATTAAAAATAGTTCTCTGTCTCCAAACTCAAAGTGGATTATTTTTCACCAAATTTTCAAACTCAATGTGGACTAATTTTGGGACAAAAGAATTATATTACTTCATGATAAAAGATAGGAGACACAAAATTGATCATAAAATAAAAAATTTATAGAGTTTTATTACAATAATAAAAAATGAGAAATCATAAACTATTGTTCTTAATGTAATAATGTAGTGAAGAAATCAAAGTTTTCTAAGTACGTCTTTATAAACCACATTAATCGTGCGACTACTCATGTTGCCCTCATTGTAAACTATAAGAACTTTCAATCTTCTTCTGGTTGTGAATCTTAAAAGAACAACTTAACATGGTTATGACTACAAAATAATTAAGACAAGAACATAGCAACTTACAAAAGAGATTGTTCCTGTCTATTATTGATTGTCATGGTAAAGCAAACACTCAAAAGGAATTGTTCCCTTCTCATTTTGAAAGGGAGCCTCTTGTCAGACGGAGAAATTATCATACAAAAATTACATTCTCAGTATTTGTTCCTGATATGATCGTAAGTTCATAACCTCAATAACCAACTATTCTAATCTACTTATGCGTAATCTTGTTTCATTACACAGACCGGTGTTGTATTCAAGTTACTCCTAAACCATCATCAAGCACATTGTAAGAGGTTCATTATTTATTCTTGCCGTGACATCACCAACAAATGCCTGTTCTGGTGCAATCGTTGGAGCAAGGTATTTTGTGAAATTGCAATACAAATGGATCAATGTAATATACAGTATTTTATAAATTAAATAATATTTCATTCTATGGCGCAAAGAGAATTCTTATTCATGTGTATCAAAATTTCGGTATGTAAAGAGACTATATGATTTCCCAAGAACATATATATATAAAACAAAAAAAAAAAGAAAAAGAAAAACAATGGTTCATTCAACAGGAAATACAAATCAAATTTCATGACACTGCTCGAATCAGTTCACACCCACCATGCCCACAATTCCTTTCCTTCCATGAAAATTTATTTTCTTCTACTTTTGTTGTTTGTGCGACTATGATGGTGAGTACTACTGAGTAGCAGTGAATAACTGTGAATTGGATGTAAAAAAAAAAAAGAAGGTTAATATCAAATACACCCCTGAGATTTGATCCAAAATCTAAAACAGCCTCACTACTTGAAGAAGAGAAGAAGAAGAGTTGACTGGGGTGTGAGGGTTTTTTAGTCATTCTGTTCCTCTTTGCACTTGACTTTTAACTTTGTTCGGCCAAGGGATGGATATGATATTTCTTAAAACAGTAAGGGTGTTTTAGATTTTGGATCAAACCTCGAGAATGTTTTTGATATTTACCAAAATATAACTGTGAATTTGACATAGGGGTATTTATGGTAATGAAGCAAAAAAGCTTCTCTGTGTTTCATTATTTGCTCTGGCACAAGGATTCATATGAGTATTTCGTAGCCGAATGGCGATGAACGTTACTTTGATTCCTTCGTGGACTTCGACAAAATTGCCCAACTTCCAACTATCATCTCAAGCAAATTTTCAGCGGTTCAAGTCTTCGACTAAGGCCCAGGCTTGTCTCTACAAGTATCCTCTGGCGAGCAAGATTATGATCAGAAGTGAGTCGATCACTACTCACTGAGATTACTTCAATATTGTTCTTCTTTTACTGTTTTCTCTTTATGGGTTTTGATTCAAATTTGTTTTCTGATTATTACGGGAATATGGGATTTCTCGCATCTCTTAATTGATTAGTCAATGAGCTGTTGTGGAGTTCAATTAGGAACCACTGGAGCTTATTTATTAATAAATTGGAAAAGAAGGTTCAGTTTGCTGATTGTACTCGAGATGTTTGATTAATGTCCTAAGCAAACATTTGCTGGAATTGTTTTTTTTTTTTTATAGTAATAAATTGCGGTTGTAATTATATTCAATTCCTTTTGACTGTGGGTGAATAGAAATCATTATGCTGCTACTAATTCTGCAGTTGTCTTTGTTTAATCATTAGATATATTCTGAACATGCATAATGCAATGTCGAAATGCATTGTTGCCGCTAGACTTAAAAGATGAAAATGCGTTCTGAAAAAGTATTTTCTGACTGAGCTTTTATTTGTTGTGGCTTTATTATCTTGCTGCCTCACATTGCAACATCTGAATGAGTTATGAATCAGGGAGCTTTTCATATGAATTAGCAGATTTGTCAGTTGAAGATTTATGATCTTTTGCAGATTTACCTTATTCTGCCAATGAAAGTAGCTTGCAGAAGGAATTTTCGAAGTTTGGCAAGATAGCTGAAGGTTAGCACACTTGAACTCCATTTTAAGTTTTCCTTGTTTGGAGAACTTATGTGATTTTTCTTTCCTGTATGGTGCATAGTTAAACTGGTCAAGGATGAAAAGACAGATAGGTCAAAAGGATATGCCTTCATTCAATACACTTCTCAAGCAGATGCATTGCTTGCAATTGAAAATATGGATAGAAAGGTGACTCCTTAATTTGCTTCCTCATTAACTGTTCTGGTTGCCAGGGAATGTTATCAAGGATTCAAACTAACTAATTGCTCTTATATCAGTACTTTAATGGCAGGGCAATTTACATTGACCTAGCAAAACCAGTAACAGGTGAGTTTGGTGGATACCCAAAAACATCTGGACCACCTGAGGAGACACATTTAGCCGATGAAGATAAGGAGTTGGTATGAGGATGACCTTAAGACTTCTTGAAGAAGGCTAGAAAGACAGACGGCGTTCACAGAAAGGCGACTTGATTTTGCTTTGCTCGTCTTTCCTATCTGGCACTTGCAAGTTTTTTGATCAGAGATGAAATTAAATTAGCTACAATTGCAAATCAAGTTATATAGGCACGTTATATAGAATTCATGACGCGCCATAGTTATCAATAAAGACAAGCTTCCTTTTGAAATTTCAGATTTTCCCATTTAAACTGTTTGGTGATATATAGATCTAGGGGAAGAAAAAAATGTTTTGCTCATTATCTCTGTACTTACATCTCTGTGAGTGAAAGCCATTTTTTCAGTTCGGTATGATATAGCTTTGCTTCTTTAAGAAGAGCTCTCTATGCTGCTACTTTTTTTCTTCCCAGTGTTCTGTCACATTTGTCGTAAAATATGAGGTTCAGGTTCAATAACGGTCCAAGTTAAACCCCAGAATGTCATTGGGAATCCATAAAAGTCAGCAGAATTTGCTTCTTGACTTCAGCAATTCGTTTTGCTGAGTATATCATAGATGCTTCCTTTTCTAAAGAGTATAGGCTCTTGATCTAATGATTAGATACTCCATGAACAACAATTAATATATGATAAACAAGCATCCATTAAGACACAACAAGAAGACAGTAGATTTGATCTTGAGAACTTGCAGAAAAACTATAGTGCTACTCAGAACGAATTCTGCAAAACAGAGAAGTCTTACTGGCATAGACACCTTCCTAACTTATACTGAATATTAGTACTACATGAAAAGCGCAAGCATCAAGCACTCATAACTATTGGCTTATGCTACATCAAACCTGACGGACGTTGAACTTTCAGTGTACATGAAAGGACCCATACACATCTTCAGGGAAATCGGTCTTCTTCCGCCGCCCTTATTTCTCAAAAGGTTCAGTAGGTCAGGAGGTGGACATTTGATCTTGATGGAGCACTTGCTCTTTAAGTTGTATGTAGACAATACCTTCCTCGGGTCTAAAACCAAAACAATGTCAGGGGAGATTGATAATATGGATAGAAAGGTGACTCCTTAATTTGCTGCCGTATTGCTTGTTCTGGTTGCCAGAGATTGTTATCAAGGATTCAAACTAACTAATTGCTTTTTCATCAGTACTTTACGTCATGGCGATTTTCATTGATCTAGCAAAACCGGGTGCAGGTACCTTTTGTGGATAAGGATTCCCTGAGGAGACACATTTACCCGAGGAAGGTAAGGATTCCGTACGAGGATAACCTTTAATACTTCTTGCCACATGTCTGTTTGTACCTAGAAGGCTAGAAAGGCAGGTGGCATTCACATAATGGCAACTACATTGAGCTCTGTTCATCTTCCCTATTTGGCACTTGCAAGTTTTTTGCTCAGAGATGAAAGTTAAATTAGCAACTATTGCAAATCCAGTTACATAGGCACTTTATACAGAATTCATGACATGCTATAGTTATCAATAAAGACAACTTATTGTTGTTTCCTTTTGAAATTTCACATTTTTTTCCCATTGCAATGGTTGGTGGTACATAGATCTACTAAGGGAAGAAAAATATGTTCTGCTCAATATCTCTGTACTTACATTTGATCTTTATATACACCTCTATGAGCAAAAGCCATTGTTTAAGTTGAATATGATAGCATTGCTTCTTTAAGAAGAGCTCTCAACGATGCCACTTTTTTTTCTTCGCCTAGAATATCATTCGTAATCGACTAACATCTGCAGGATTTGCTTTTTAACTTCAGAAGCTCGTTTTGCTAAGTATATTGTGGATGCTTCATTTTTTAAAGTGATATAAGCTCTTGATTAATGATTAGATACTGGAATTCGCTTTGCTGAGGATATCATAGATGCTTCCTTGAGGAATGTAGGCTCTTGATCCAGTGATGAGATAATCAATGAACAACAATTAATCTATGATAAATAGGCATCAATTAAGACACGGCAAGTAGACAGTAGATTTGATCTTGAGAACTGACAGAAAAATTATAGTGCTAGTCAAAAATAATTCTGCAGAACAGAGAAGTCTTACTGGCATAGGTACCTTCCTAACTTAGACCGAATATTAGTTCATGAGAAGCCCAACATCATGAAAAGCACTACATCATGAAAAGCCCAACATCAAATCAACGGATGTGGAACTTTCGGTATACAAGAAAGGACCCATACACATCTTCAGGGAAATCGTCCTTCTTTGGCCACCCTCGATTCTCAAATTATCCATAATTTTCAACGCACATAAAAGGACCAATACACATCTTGAGGGAAACTAGTATTCTGTTGTTGTGACCTTTGCCTCTCAAAACATCCCTAATCTTCAATAGGTCAGGTGGAGGACAATTGATCCTCGTGAACTACTTCTCGTTGAAGTTGTATTCATATAATAACTTGTTCCAACTCAAGACCAAAATATTGTGGGAGGAGAATGTAGGTTGGAGGGGTACAAAGTTCAAGATCCCTCTAACAGTAAACAATCTAGTCCAAGAATCTTTCACGCCGTATTCTTCCATAATCAAAACATCATTGTCGAAATATTCGAAACTGTATCTGTTTGGACCTTCAAACATGCAAAGACGTCCGTACAAAACACTCAGTTGAGAATAAAAGAGGACGCCTCTGATCCTGTTTGTAATGTTTGTAATCTGGTATCTTAGGCATTGGCAATTCTTCAAACCGATTCATTTCCTCGTCAAAATAGACAATCGACTTCGAGCCACTTGACCTTTCCAAGATCCAATGCAAATGTCCACTCACTACAAGTCCTAGGCTATAATGATGATGGAAGGAGGGCTTGATAAAGGCATACGGCAAAATATCCGTTTGTATGATTCCCTTTCTTAAGCTAGCTTTGGACTGCCTTATGGACCCCCTTCCAGACAAAGTCACTAATACCGCTTTGTAATCATTAGAAGATTTATCAAAATAGAATCCAGAGGCTCCTCGATGCCCAGACAACTTCAAGGCAATTTGTGATTGAACCACCAAATCATTGAGTTGTTTCATTGCGCGACAGCATCCGGTGGACGGGTTCCATAACTACATCATTCGTTGTGATTGAAAAAGTACCAACCCATTACAGGTACCGAACACGGCGACATTGGTGAAATCAGATGTGATTTCACTAGAGGGATCAGGAAGTTTTACCGCTGAGTGATTGTTATGTTCTATTGAATAGAGATAGATCTGTTTCGGATTCAAAGAAGATCCTCGGTTGTAAGCTAAATAACCCACAACTGCTCCTTCTCTTCCAGTCCTCCCATGAGAGTCGACGCTTGATATAAGATCTTTCCACGACTTGCAAACACACTTGCATCATAACAGAAGCTTCACCAGTAATCTGGAAAGTATCGGGAGAATAATGTCATCTGGAAGATGAACATCGATCGAGACCGTTTTCTTCCTTGCGCTCCGCATATCTCTAATATTCGTGTATGTTATTTTTCTTGCTGCGCCGGCACAATATGTAAAACCCTAATACAGTAATACTATAGTTTATATAATACTACTGTAATCCCTTTTAACCTATTAAAGCAGAAGACATGAAACTTATGTGGCAATTACGTATGTATCTGTTTTGGCTCCAATGCACCATATTTCAGATTACAGGAGTCTTTTTGCTACGTATAAGTCTTTTTTAATTAGAAGCTATATAATTCTTTTTTTAAAAAAAAACACATGTTTTAGATGTAACACTTATCCAATGAAAAAAATTCTACAAATAAGAATCAGTTACATTTCAAACGAATGGATAATATTAATTCAAATTCAAATGTCCAATCGTACAGTTTTGCAGGCTTAATATAACCAAAAAATAAAAAAAAAACTAAATCCAGTAATTAAGAATAATGCATTATAAACTAATTATTTATTATTCCCTTATAACCTCATATTTATAGGTATATTTTTTTAAGCCACAAACCATAGCATAAATGATATATACGCCAAATTAATTCCTCAAAAAATAGTAATTCAATTAGATTTTAATAAAATAGTAATTTAGAAGGGGCGCCCGGGCATCTGCCTGGGCCAAACATCTAGTATTTATTTATAGGACAAACAAATTGCGATACCCAACCCTAAAATGATCATTTCATTATGTTAAACCTCTTTTTTAGATTTTATTAATGACTTAATTAACAATTCGATCCTGGCCCTGCCTCAAAGAGATGGCAATAAAAATAACTAGATATTTGGCCCAGGCAGATGCCCAGGCGCCCCTTCTAAATTACTATTTTATTAAAATCTAATTGAATTACTATTTTTTGAGGAATTAATTTGGCGTATATATCATTTATGCTATGATTTGGGTCTTAAAAAAATATACCTATAAATCTGAGGTTATAAGAGAATAATAAATAATTAGTTTATAAGGCATTATTCTTAATTACTGGATTTAGGTCTTTTTAATTTTTGTTTATATTAAGCCTGCAAAACAATACGATTGGACATTTGAATTTGAATTAATATATCCATTCGTTTGAAATGTAACTGATCCTTATTTGTAGTAAAACATGTGTTTTTTTTTAAAAAAAAATTTATATAACTTCTAATTAAAAGAGACTTACACGTGGCAAAAAGACTCCTGAAATCTGTGAAATATGGTGCATTGGAGCCAAAACAGATGCATACTTAGTTGCCACATAAGCTTCATGTCTTCTGCTTTAATAGGGTAAAAGGGATGATAATTAATAATCATAGTGGTATCCCGTTTGAATATGAACTCAACAAAACTGGGTCTCCCTTAATAGTAGGAGCCAAGTAGGTCCGTACTTGAAGACGGCATTGTAAGTATCATTCTTCTGTTTGCGGGTTGTCCTTATTTATAGTGATCAAGACTGTTGCTCTTTTTCTTTTTCTTTTTTTTTGGTATTTTTGGAAACCACCTTCACTTCTTTTATTGTTCTATATTTGAATAAATATATTGGACCAAAATTTCTATTAAAAAAAAATCCACAAAGTTGAGCACTGAGCTTTATTAGATTCTTCACGTTTATTTTTCTTTTGAGTGAACCTCAAAACGGGTCATTGAACTATTAGGTAATTCTAATACAGGTCATCAATCAAATTTATTTGTATAATAGGTCACCTTACTAAGCAAAAAATTCATCTGAGATCACTCTGTTAATTTTGACCGTCAAATAGTCACGGAAATCTATTTTTCACATGCTTTTCGGTTCAGGGGTATTTTTGTTATTTTTAAATTTTTTTTAAAAAAAATTATTATTATTATTATTTTTTAATAATTCTTCTTCTTATACTTCCTAACTTGTATATATTGGTAGTATAATTCTAAATTTCAAAAATTCATTTTAATTTTGTATTTTAACTTCTAGATTATAATTTTTTTTAAAAAAAATTAAGAAATGAAGAAGAAAAATTTGAGTTAAAGTAAACATAAAAATTAATAGTTTACCATTTTAAACTAAAAGAAAAACTAAAAGAATTAGCTAAGACAAGTTGTTTCTTCTGGGTTATTTAATTACTTTCAACTCGATTTAATCGTTTAATTATTAATTTTCACGTTTACTTCAATTCGAATTTCTCTTCTTTAATTTTTTATAAACTAGAAGTTAAAATAAAAACGATAAACTAATTTTTAAAATTTATAATGATACTAATAGTAACATATATAAGTTAAGAAGCAAAAGAAGAAGAATCGTAAAAAAAATTAATTAAAATATTAATATTTAAATATATATATATATATATATATAAATTGATGAAATTGCCCTTGTACCCAAAATAAGGTGAAAAATAGTTTTCTGTCATGATTTAAATCCCAGAATAACCTAGGGGAAATAACTTCTCTTAGGGAAAAAAAAATTTATAATCTAAAAGTTAAAATACAAAATTTAAATTAATTTTTGAAATTTAAAAATTATAATACCATCATATACATGTTAGAAAGTATAAGAAGAAGAATTGTAAAAAAATAAAAAAAAATTTCGAAAAAAATAAAAATTTTAAAAATAACAAAATGACAAAAATACTTATGAACCCAAAAGCATGTGAAAAATAGATTTCCGTCATTATTTAACGGCCAAAATTAACAGAATAATCTCGGATGAATTTTTTGCTTAATAAGGTGACCTGTTATACAAATAAATTTGATTGATGACCTGCATTAGAATTATCTAATAGTTCAATAATCCGTTTTGAGGTTCGCTCTTTTCTTTTTCATGGCCAACTTATCAAACCACATATTAGAGCAGGTCTGATTCATCCAAGAGGAGATACAAATCAAATTTCACGACACTAATCGAATCAGTTAGCCACCACCATACCCAAAACTCAGGTCCTCCGGGACTAATTATTATGCTACACCTTTGCCGTTTTTTTAGGTGTGTTACTTATATGCACCTAAAGATATGTGTGTAATAGTCATTTTATAGCTTTACTTGCTTCTCATAGAAGTACTCCGATCAGTGTTATGTACCCTTGTTTCTTCCCAATGCTGTCACATTTGTCGAAATGTATGAGGTCCGATTTCAATAACCGAAGGAACCCACCAGAATTTGTTTCTGAAGTTATCAGCTTGCTAAAGTTTTATCACAGATGCTTCTTTTTCCATGGAAATTATTACAGGCTCTTGATCAAGTGATGACATACTGAATGGATAATAAAGCAGCACCACCTACTTTGTACTCTTGTTTTTTTTTTCTTGTTTTGAAAGATGATGAACTCAATTTGACGAGGCATCCAAAACAAAAGGTAATAAAATATCCAAAAATAAAAGATACCAAAAAATTACATAGAGTACGAACTAACATATGAAGAGAAGATTTAATGATAGAAAAAAAGGTCCCAACGTTGCTAATATAAGCCCAAGCACCCACTAAGTTTCATACATTAAGAAAACCACCACACTAAGATGGAAAAAAAAATTGGCTAATGAATCTGATGAGCGATCTCTATAGTTGATGCCAATATCCATTGTATAGCGCTCACATCAAATCAACGGATGCCAAACTTTTTGTGTACATAAAAGGACCAATATACATATGAAGGAAAACTGGTGTTCTGTCACAACCTTCGACTCTCAAAACGCGCTTAATATTCAGTAGGCCAGGAGGAGGACATTTGATTCTTGTGAGACGCTTCTTGTTTAAGTTGTATGTGTATATCTTGTTACAAATTAAGACCAATAATTTGTGGGAGGAGATTTTAGGTTGGAAGGGCACCAATGTACCTCCAATAGTGAACAATTTGGTCCAAGAATCTTTCACGTCGTATTCTTCCATAATAAAAACATCATTATCGAAATCATCAAAATGGCATTTAGGACCTTCAAACAAGCAAAGGCATCCAAATAAAACCGTAAGTTGAGAATAACGTGGAAGACGCCCCTCACTAGGTTCTTGTTTTTCAGGCATTGGCAATTTCTTAAATCGGTCCATCTCCTCGTCAAAATAGATAATCTTAGACTTACCAGAACGTATCCTTGTCATGGTCCAATGCAAATGTCCATTAAGTAGAACTCTCGGGTCATAATGTCCGAAGAAGGGCACGGTCAAGCGATAAGGGAAACCATCCGTTTGAATGTTTCCCTTTCTTAAGCTTGCAACAAGCTGTGTTCTAGAAGTCAATAATACTGCTTTGTAATCATTAGAAGATTTGTCAAAACAAAGTCCAGAGGCTCCTTTGTGTCCAGAACAAATCGAGGCATTTTGACCTTCATTTGCCAAAACCTCGAGTTGTTTCATTGCACGACAGCTACCAATGGACGGGTTCCACAAGTAAATTACTCCATAAGATTGAAAAAGTACCAAACCATTACAAGTACCGAACACATCAAAACTGTAGAAGTCGGATGGCAATTCGCCCGAGGGTTTTGGAAGTTTTACCGCTGAAAGATCAGCGTTGATTGAATAGAAGTGGATCAACTTCTCCTGAATTGGTGGTCCGTAACTCATAGGTAAATAGCCCACAATTGCTCCTTCTTTCCCCGCGTGACGGGCGAGAACAAAGTTTGATACTAAACTTTTCCACAATTTGCAAACACACTTACATCGTAAGAGTGACCTTATTGGTAATCTAGGAAGTATCTCCAGAACAATGTCTTCAGGGAGATGAACAGTCGAGATCGATTTCTTGTTTGCTCTTCCCATCTCTAGTTTGTGTGTGTTCTTGTGTTGCGGTGCAATTTAACCCTACTACCTCATGATATTTATATAGAACGAGAAAACTTTACAAAAATAATTCCGAATATATAGGGACTACTAGTTGTATGTGTTTATTACTAATTTCTTTTTCTTTTTTTTTTACTCTAAAAATTTTCTTTGTACTGTACCCCGAAAAAAGAAAAAGATAAAAACCGAAATTTTTTCAGGGGATTACCTCTTATTAATAAAAAATAGAAGGACTCAATAATTAATTTGGCCTTAATAGTGGGGGTTAACAGTGCAAAATTTCCTCTTTTGTTCGGCAGTCTGTACTGTAAGAGGTTTAAGGCCGCACTTTAATTCCAAAGGGTTTATGCTTTCAACCCTTCCTCCGCCCCCAGACAACTCCAATTTGGGGGAATAACAAAATTGGCGCCGCCGTATAAACATCATATTTACTTAGTTGGGGGCCAGTGCACAGGTGAGCCGTCAATAACTATTCGTATGAACTTTATGCCCAAAAAAATTTTGTTTCTTATTTATTGTGTTAATGTTGTAGAAGAAGAGCAATGGGTTTTTTTGGATTTTAATCAAAGTGGGTTTTTGTTTTCTGGTACTGTTTTTGATTGGAAGAAGATAGATAGGGTCATATTCATGCGTTGGTTGGGTCAAGTTCTGTTTTCTTTAATTCGTAAGATTTATTACTGTTGCTGTGTTTAATGTAGATTTCAAGCAAAGATGATGAAATTAAAAACCCCTTCCAAGAAAAGGGTTCTCCGGGAGCTAGAGAAACGTGAACCAAAACTTGTAAGCTTTGCTTTTTTTTCTTGCTATTGAATTTGTGTATTAATAAAGCTGAAATCTTTGCAGCGGGTGAATAGACGGGAGTCAAAATGATTTTGTTTTGATTTTTGTTTATTTGTTTTTGGGTGTTTTTGGCAGGTTGAGACAGGGAAGAAAACTCTGATACTTCATGGTACTAAAACCAGCAATGTGTTGAATGCTGTATTGGCTGAGATTTATCATTTGAAGAGAGGCAGTGCTCTCAAATATTCTAAGAAGAATGAAAATGTCCGGCCTTTTGAGAGTGGTGGCGAAACTTCTTTGGAGTTCTTCTCGCTTAAAACTGACTGTGGTCTGTTCGTGGTGAGTTAGCCCTTAACCTATTAATTACACTCTGCGGCTCCATTACCATGTTAATTCTCTGAATGAAGGAAAATGAAAGGCTGCAATTCGTACTTATATGATTAGTTGTCTGTTTTTTTGTCGTTATTGGTTGATTTTGCTAATGCATTGGCCAATTAAGTTGGTGGATTTGATAATGCATTTGTATGCGTAATCATTAATATTGTTATTTTTCTAATTTTGAAGCATAGTTCAATACAGTTGACTTGCAAACTCATAATGTAGGATGCATCCTTCTCAGCTTCTTCTTTAAAAATTTAGTTAATAATCATGTCTTACTGAAGCTGACTGATAAGGAATATATATCTATTTTTTAGGGGCCAGCAGAGTATTTATGATTAGTTATAAAGGAACAACATAGGTTGGAATATTAAATTTAAAGGAACAAACTTTTTAATAGATATAGGTCCTGTTGGAATTTCCTTTGCTGAAATTTTAGATAGTCATTGAGGTTTCCATGGTCCTCTTTGCAGATAAAACCACCAGTTAGTTGAAATTAGTTTTTTCTGCACTTGCCAACATTTGTTTTTTTTCCAGCGCTGAAGGCCGTTGTTACTTGATGTAAGAAAGACATGATGAGGAATTCTTTAAATGTACGTCATTAATATGAAAGCTCTTGTAAAGAACATGTATTTACAACCTAGTTATGTTGTGCATGATCGAATATAAACTTTGTGAAAAGGTTTGCTTTGTCATGTTCAAAGCTGAGTGCATTGTGATTTTTGCCATTCTCTTTGGATTTCAGCTCAGTTTTTGGTTTTGGTTTTAATATGTTCTGACTTCTGAGATACATTTGAGTATTTAGTGTTTTCCAATTGTTTCCTGTCCAGTGTAATAATGTGATCATTGGCGTTTGTAACAGTGTGGATACTTTTGCTATCTTAATATAACATTTGCATCTTTGTTCATTTCGTTCTTCGGAGTTGGAAATCGCTCAAATGTCTATATTTAGATATCTATAGATGATATGCTTTCAAGTGCCAGTGGCCTTTACATCATTTTCTGGGTTGCAAGGGCTGGGTTTGGATTTTATTTATCTTTTTAACTTTCTACAGTGCCGTACTTAATGACATTATATGCAGACCTGTCCTCGTTGTCATCATGATTGGGTTTACAATTTCATTTCCCGTTTTTTTTTTTTCATCACTTTGCTGTGTTCTTAATGTAGCTTTCTTTTTAGGCATTAGTATAATTAGCTCCTTGCATTTCTGTTGGTTTGTTTGCTCATATATTCTTGAATTTGATGAGATACATTATTTGCAGCTAGGTACGCACTCTAAGAAGCGGCCGAATAATCTTGTGATTGGAAGGTTTTATGATCACCATATTTATGATCTTGTGGAGGTTGGAGTCGAGAATTTCAAAAGCATTGAGTCTTTTTCTTATGATAAGAAATTGACTCCTCATATGGGATCAAAACCTTTTTTTGCTTTCATTGGAGAAGGATTTGATAGTAATGAAGAGTTGAAGCATTTAAAAGAAGTTCTACTTGATCTTTTCCGGGGAGAGGTCTGTCATTATACTGTGTATGTTTGCATTAGGTTCCAGAGTACTATACTAAGCATGTGTAACTTCCTTCTATAGGTTATAACAAATCTCAACCTAGCTGGTTTGGATCGTGTTTATTTGTGCACGGCCGTGTCGTCCAATAAGGTGTTCTTCACTCAATGTGCTATTCAGTTGAAAAAGTCGGGCACCAAGGTACCAAGGATTGAGTTGGTTGAGGTTGGCCCTTCTATGGATTTTATCGTTAGGCGACATCGTCAACCTGATGACAGATTGAAGAACCAGGCAATGAAAACAGCTCCTGATTCTACAAAGAAAAAGGTATACTGCGGGATTTTTGCTTTGCAATCTTTCTGTATTTGAAGCTTATAACACTCTTATATGTCTCTTCACTATTTTCAGGTGAAAAATGTTGTGAATGATCAAATACGTGGTAAACGTGCGAGGATATTCATACCAGATCAAAAGGTTAGAGACTTGTCTCCATCTTAATTTCAGTTCCAAGGATGATGTAAATTAATCTTATTGCTCTGAGTATTATTAATAACCAGGAGCCCTCATGCATGAATCACGGTTTCTGTCTTATCTTACTGTTATTAGTGTGTTTCTCTCTGCAATAGGATTCTTCATGCACTATTGCCACCGAAGTATGGTCATTGATAAAACTTGCCATACACTGCAAATAACCTTGTCTAATTTTTTACTGTTTTTCTTGTAACCTATTGTATCCTCTCAGTCCATAAAACACTGAATCTTTTCGTTTCCATCCCATCTAAATCCCCTGTCCCCTTTTCTCTCCTTTGTGCATCAGTTGTATGTATGTGAGATATGGTATGGCCGAAGAACAATACTATTAGGTTGTCTGCAAAGATGATCATTGTTTCAATATGTCTACCCCGAGTGTTTTTGAGTAAAATTTTCGATCAATAGCTTGGACTTAACAACTTTGTATTTCTTTATTCATTACGTTGTTGGTAGGTTGGTAATGTTGCTCTGCCTCATAAAGCGAAAGGAGTGAAGAGGGAGCGCCGAGAAGCTAAGATGAAGGATGAGGAGACCCGCGAACCTGCTGGAAAGAAACAGAAGGATAATGGTAATTAGTGTTGTTAAGGATTTTTGCACAAGTCAATCCCGCGCAACTGATGATTCTAAACGGTTCAAGCACAATATGGATAAAAGTGAAGATGGCTGAACTTGTACTGGGCTGTAGGAAGCTTAGAAGTATACCGGAGTAGCCGTCTTATTTTTGGAAATGCTATATGAGATTTTGAGAGAAGGTTTTTTAAGTATGGATGGATCCTAGTACTGTGTATTGTTGTGGAAAGACTTCATCGTAACAAAGTGCCACCCACTAATTTTCTTGAATTCATGAATTTCGCTATACTTGAAGCGGTTTAGTATTCGAATATAAACTGAAATCCAGTGTTTCTTTCATTACATTTTCCTTCTGCAACTAGGTTAGATGATCAAGGTTTTATACAATCATTTTCTCAGACAATATAAGAACATCACAAGGCGAATGGAGTTTTACTAACCTGGTTGAATCTCGTTTGATAGAGTCAGTTTAACTTTGCCCTTCAAAAAAGCAAAAAAAAAAAATTTTAAAAAAAAGCTCTTCAAAAATAAAGTTGTCAGGCAACCTCATCAAATCAGATCATCGTACATGTCATTGATCAACTTACTAATGAAGTTAGAACATGAACGCAATTAACTTATAACTACTTGTCTAGTGCCTATCACAACTCCGTTGTAGTCTAGATGGTTAGGATATTCGGCTCTCACCCGAAAGACCCGGGTTCGAGTCCCGGCAACGGAATTTTTGTTTTGTTTACCAAATCAATCACAACATGTTTACCTATCGCCTATCGACATCCCTGGTAATGTAAGTTCTATCCAAGAAACCTTTACTTTTGTGCCTTTGTAGCTAATGAGCTATCGAATTCTTGTAAATTTGGGGGTAAGAATTCACAAATGGTGACTGAATCTCAAGGATTGAGAAATCCAGGAAATGTTGTTGCCTTATTGCTTTTAAAATCTATTACGTAGGTTAATTCATTTTGGTATCCATCATTTACTTGCCCTATGAAAGCAGCAGTGCAGCACTGCTGACTGCTTTTTGTGAAAGTTTGACCTGCTAACCAGCTTCTCAGTGCTGATTTAGTGAAATCTAATCCCGCAGTTTGAAATACTTTGACAATAAAATCTGTTATACTCCCTCCTTGTCCTTAATACAAGACATTTTGATTTGTCCTAGGTTTCACCTATTACGCATTTCTAATTAACAAAAAAAAAACTTTAAAAACATTTCATAATAATCAAGAGAACACAACGAATGTGAAAATATATTTTTAAAGTTTTTTCATCAATTGAAAATACGTACTCGGTGAAACCTACACCAAATCAAAATGCCTTATATTAAGGACCGGAGGGAGTAGTTCTTTGGCTACTAGGAGTATTTTTTTTTTTTAATTGTCAAAGGTGAATCCATTGAACAGTTATGTTTCTTGTTTCACTGAAATTTCTTTCTTAGTCATTTTAATTGCGAGCAGTGCTTTATAATTTATCATTTTGCATTTGTTCCATTCTGTTTATCAACCAGGTTCTTTGCTTTCTTATGAGGGGATAATTGTTTTGCATAATTAATTAAATCTGGAAGATAGGCAATCAAGTGCATAACTGCATACGTGATTATATTCAGCGAAATTCGATTTTGTTTCTTTCAATTTGTGCTTTTTGTGTCAGCCCTGTCTCCCTAGGTTTTTTTTTTTTTTTTCAGTGTTAATTTTTCGGTTTTATGTGAGAGTTAATAAAATGATTTGCTCTTCCTCCTAATTAATTAACTTGGCAAAATCAAATGATGGAACAGAAGAAAAAAAAGCTTAAAGAAATGAAGTTAGCAGGACGTTAATTATCTTTATGCTTTCTCCTGATTTCAGGCATTCGATCATTTTCATGAAAATTTCCTCGAGTACTATCTACATGTCTACTGATCATAAGAAACTTCGCTTTGATTTGTGACTACTAACGGGTATGGAAAGCTCATTTGAAGCAACAGCTTCGTCTAAGAAGCTCCCAAAGTGTTCTCATGATTGTGATGCAAGTCCAGTGGATAGGATCAGCAATCTACCAGAGTCAATCATTTGCTACATTCTCTCCTTTTTACCTACAAAGCTTGTTGTTGCAACTGTCATTTTGTCCAAAAGATGGAAATTTCTTTGGACTAAAGTTAACACCTTGACTTTGCTGATAAGGAAGAAGATGATTACAGCAGTGAAGAAGGCGACAAGAGGATGACTTTTGTGCAGTTTGTTAACAAGGTTTTGATTCACCATAAATCTGAAACAATGGAGAAGTTTGGTCTCAGATGGATGAACGAGTGCCAAGCAGTTTATGCCAATAAATGGATCAGCCACACAATTGCTTGCAATGTTAAAGTTCTTAATCTGAAGGTTCGTTTTCCAGCTAAAGCTAGAGATTTTGGTGATTCTCTGGTTCATCTACCTGGTACTCTTTTCACCTGTGAGAAACTGGAATTTCTCAGGTTAGAAGGACCTTTTCTTCTTAAGTTCCCTAGTTTGATTTGTCTTCCCAATCTGGCGAGTCTGGAACTTGATTCGGCTGCGTATGAATCGGAATCTGATGAGTCTTTTCATTTTGCTCATATCTAGCTGTCCAGTGCTCTCTTCGCTCAGCATAATTAGGGAGTCTTTCGATAATTTGATAGTCTGCACCATATCTTCCCCCACACTTAGATTTCTTGAAGTAGATTTTATGACAATGAATCCTTTCCCGAGACCGAGGAGCTAAAGATACATGCCCCTGCTCTTGAAGACCTTCGTTTGACTGACAATGTTTCGCGGAAATTCTCATTGGAAGGGCTAACCTCTTTGAGGGATGTGTCACTTGATCTATGTCATACGAAACGTTATGAACAAGCCAACTATGGAAATATTGTTGTTAAGCAGGTTCAAGCTATGGACTGTGTGAAGGTGCTGACACTATCTTATCGCACAACAGTGGCTCTTAACTCGGCCACGACCAAATTGGCAGGAGGGTTTGAGAACTTAACCAAATTGTACATACAAATTTACTGCTGTCGGTGGAGCGTTCTGAAAGATTTGCTGGGCTGTTTCATGAAATTAGAACTCCTTGATATCAAAAAAATTTTATGTGCAAATTCAGAGCACAGAGCATGTTGGAGCGAACCCACAAACGTTCCCAAATGCATGGTACACAGTCTGGTACATGTTTCATTACATGGATTTGAAGGTTTTAATGATGAGGTCGAACTTACAAGGTACGTTCTAAAGCATGGTTTAGCAATGAAAAGAATTAATATATGCTGCTTTTCTCATCGCTGTGACTTAAAGAAAAAGTTCCGCATACTTCAGAAGATAGCTATGTTCCCTAGAGTTTCTCCTCCTGTGAAATCAACTTTTCTTGAGATGAATTTAATGGCATGGCTCATTCATTTACTGGATGCGCTTCGATGCAACTTTGAGGACTCCCAACCCTTTGGATTTAGTCTTAGCAAAACAGGGTAAATAGTTTTAGCAGTTTCACATATTTTGTTCACAATTTTTTGTTTGGCCCTTTTGGGACGACTAGTTTGTTCTACCTTCATTCCCTTGAATCCTTGATGTTGTTTATTGCTCTTGGGCATTTGGCTTCATGTCAGTTGTGTTTCAAATTTATTTAACTTTCTGAAGTTCATGTTTTTTTTTATTTTTTTATTCTGGTCTCAACGAAGATGTGCATAACCCTAGCACCGACTATTTATTTCCATATCTGAACTGGAACTTTGAACGTGAATGTTTTAGCTGCAGCCTCTCTGTGTTGCTAGGTTTATATGGTGCATATTAGCATGATTCAATATGCTGTTTAGACGAGAATAAGGCATCTAGGCTCTAATCAAGACGCTATCCTTGCCAATTAAGTTTTATGAAACAAGGCCTCAGTCTGATTTGCATAATTATTTTGAGCATTACATGTGAAGCATCATTAAGGCTTGGTGTTATCCGGGAAAAAATGTCGTTCCTACCCAAAATTTTGTCCACGTCGTCAATCATATCCAATAGATTTTTGGTTAGTCAACTTTACCCTAATGTTTGATCCGTGTATACCAAACACAATACTAAGTAGCAACTTGTAATGTAAGATTTGTACTTGCTTCAGTTGACAATCTACTGCAATGATGTTATTGCCGTCAACTTTTCATCTGTACTAATTAGCTAACCCTTTCGGTTCAACTACAAGCCCTTCTGTTGTGTTCTTTAGTCATCATCCTACATCACATTACTCATGACATGACTCAAACTGTTACCAAATTTAATTGGGTCTTCTCCCTCAATTTTTTATTTTTAGTTTTCAAAAACATTTGACGTTACAGTATGATGCGATCATATCGTAATGATCTGAACAAATTATTGTCTTATTGATCTCTTACCAGCATGGAGGGTGTGCTTACAATTTGATTGATGTTGTCAACGAAACCGCTTGACGTACCTAAGCTTCCAAATGTGATTGATAACTCACGAGAGCTTCGTGTCCAAATTTTAAGGAAAATTGCTCCTCAAACGTGTGACAAGAGAGTGTTATAACATTTTGTATTTTGTTAATGGGAACAAAAATACAGAATCTACTGTCTTTTTTCTTGCCTCCTATATCCTAAATATTGATGGTAACACGCAAAAGAGATCAGACACATTCACGCTGGAATGTTCTCATATATATATATATATATATATATATATATATATATCCGCCTTGTGATCCTACTGCTCCAGTTTCCAGTTACATTTGCAATTTAACGGAGTTGGGTATGCACTAATACCATGTTAAATTGCCAACATTATAATATCCTCATTCGTGAATTATGGTTCAAAGAGCATTTTATACACGTAATATATTAATAACAAACTAAATTGTATGATCGAATGACTTTTAGCTGCAATAAAGACCAAAGTTGATAATATATTAAACGTAGTTGCAGTATCGAAAAATTAAATATGACGCGCTTGGCTAATTTGATTTCTGGACTTACACTTTCAGTCAAATGTTTCAAGGACCAGCACAAGGACTAGGCAGATTGCAATGGCCCGACGATCCTTGGCTTCAGCGTGATGTTATCAGTGTAGCATATCCTCAAAATGTATTAATTACCCTAAGACGTGAGCCTTGCAGCTAAAAGTCATTCGATCATACAATTTATCTGTTCAAAGGCTTGCATTTGATTTCAGCCTACAAACTCCATATGATCATTAAGAACACGATTATAAATAAAAATGAGAAATCACTGAAGTCAAATTATATTTTGTTTGAAGAATTTCCATATACATAATTAATAATTTCCTCAGAGCCCCTATTGACAATTTTCGTTAGGGTAATAAGAATCGATGAAGCTGAAAATGGCCTGATAGGAGAAATATTAGCTAGAATAAAATGAGGCCCCTTGATGCACACTGACAAAAACAGTGGCCGGACAAGGGACATCTGATTCAATCATTACATTATTGTGGGATATATTCCTAAGAGCATGGTTAGGGTAGAGACTCTCACTTGGGCTGAATGTATACTGAACATGATTCACAAAATCAGGAAACACCAGAATTGGATTGAAATCCACCATCCATGATGGTCCATTTCCTTGTACGGATCCTCTAGCCACAGTTGCCCTGAGTTTCATCCCTTTTACGTTGTTCCGGTCGACGACAACCTGATGAATCTGATTGAAAGGGCCATTTCTCTGGTCCAACTGAACAATGTCAATCCCCTTGTCAGAACCACAAAACATGTTGTCCACAATGTTCACTCCAGAAATCTCCCCTTTGATCGATTTCAGGACGATGAATGCGTCTCCAAGGAAGAAACAGTTTGCGATATCGAGCTGAACAGGATCCTCTGCCACAATTCCTGTGTAATCCAGGTAAGAATGGACAATCCTGGTTTGTGTCAAACCTGGTACTTTGAGGTAAATCCCCGTGCCGCCGAAACCGGTGGCTTTGTTGTAACAATGTACACCTGAAATGGTATTGGCCTGGCCCGAAACCATGATCCCGATCGCGGCCGAGAAGATCACCACATCTGACACAACGTTGTCGTTTCCCATCAGGTGGATTCCGGTGCCTGAGAAGTATCTCTCGCCGGGATCGCTCCCGGCGGTAATGTGCTGACCTAGGTAGCTGTTCCTTATTAAGGTTTCATGACCATCTTGGACTAAAACTCCATTTGTAGTAAAATGTGTGATGTAACAGTTGTCAATGGTTGTTCTGAGTGAATTCAACACAAAAATGCCTCCACCCCTATAACTTGAATCCAGCAACAGATCCCTTAAAGTAACAAACTCATTATTGAATGCCCCATTGTTGTTTTTGGATGATAACTCAATCAAGTATCTGTCACCTGGAAAAGTGTCTGATGCCTTCAATGTTCCTCCATGTATCTGTTATCATCATTAAAAAAATTTCAACAATTTTCAGTAACTGACTTAGGTAAAAAAAAAAGTCATCCAGCTTAGTAAATGTAGTTCAGGTATTGGGAGGAAAAAAAGTAGTTGCAGATGAAACATTAAATTCAAAAGGGTAGTTGAAAACATCAAAAACAAGACCACCATATAAAAAGAAAACAACATTTATGGAATGACTTCATTGTTTGAAGCTGGCAGGCAGAATTTAGAACCAGTGGATTTTGGTAAAAGGTTTTTTTGATTGATCTAATTTCACCTGTCTATCTATAATTTAACTACCTTTACATGAACAATTACAGTATAAAGAAAACATCAATGTCGATCTGAAATCATTCACACGAATTAGAAAGACACATGGTATACGCCTGTATGATAATGAAACTAATAAATACTTTTACCTAATTCGGTTACATAATCAAGTCGGCAAGAAATAGCATTTTTAACTGTACTGTCATTTTTTTAGTAGCCCTGTTTCACACAATTCAAGTGCTGACCATTTTCGGCACCAATTAACACATTCCCAAATGGCAATTCCCCCCACCAACATTCTTCAATAGTCTCTTAAATCAACAAAATTTGCAATCTTAATAGATGTTTGTTTTTTTTTTTTCTTCTTTTTCCAAGCATTGGAAGTCTAAATTTCTAATGTCATTCTCCACAATTAAGAATTTTCAAAAGTCATCATAAAAAGAAGAAAAACAGAGACAGGGGGAGACTGAGAATTCCACAATGAATCATCAATTTCAGGAGCGGTTGTCAAGGCGTTTGGAAAGAAAGCATACCAAGAGATTACCCTTGCCGGCGGCCAGCTGGAGGGGGCGGCTAATTAAGTAATTCCCACCTTCAAGATCAATCCGGGCACCACCAAGATTAGCAATTCCGGCGATCAAGAACCCATTAGTTGGACCTTCAAGTGCATCAGTAATGGCCCTTGAAATTGCATCCATACTGTCAGTTTTCCCAGTCGGGTCCGCCCCGTATGATGTTACCTTATACACATTAGGCCTCGGCGCGACCTTCAAAACATAAGGGAAAAAATGAAGAAGAACCCATTAAAACCCATTACAAGATTATGATCAAGAACTCAAGAAAACAGAGCACTCACCGGAGGAGCTTGTGCTGGTGTTGGACTCAATTCATCAGGTAAAGAAGAACCCGGAATTTTCTGCTGCAAAATATAACTACTCTGCATTCGTCTCAATTCATCAATATACGTTCTTGGAGAAGCGTAGGAATGAGCATTGACTGTGGGATTTCCATGAACAAAAGCAACGGACAGAACCAAAAGGGCCAATCCCATTTTCAGAAACAGAGAAGGCTCCATGGCTCTGTTACTGCTTCTTCTTCCTCTTCTTCCCATTTCTGTCTGCTATTTATTGATGAAAAAAAGATGAGGAAGGTGTGATCATATATATATCTAAGACGCAAAGAAAACAGATTTGAATACGAAATTGAAAGAAAGAAAAGAACTTAATGTGGTGTTATATTGGTTCATACAAATGACACCATCAGAGGAGAAAGGAAGGATTTTTTTTTTTTTTTTTCGTTGGTTGTGTTTGGTTTCTGTAATTTATAGGTTTTTTTCTGAAAGGAGAAGGGAAAAAAGGAGCGTAGTTGGAGAGGCTTATTTTGAAATTAAGGGAGTTTTTAACCTGATAGAAAGAAAAGTAAAGAGAGTGACCAAATTCTTTACTTTAGGGGATCATAAAATCTAAGCTAACAAGTTTGACATAGTATTCTAAGGTAATTGGTTTCACACATATTGCTCACTAACTGAAAAGATTGGTTGTGGTGAAAGTAATTCTTTAGGGAGAGGAGGAACAGTTAGTTTAATTATGTTAGTTAGAATCAAACCAGTAATATACACGTCATAATAAGTCATAAATGTCTTGAGAGATAAATAGATTATATTCCATCAGTTTCAAAATAAGTGTCGTTTTAGCAAAATAGAAAAATTTCAAAATAAGTGTCGTTTTTACATTTCAATGCACTTTCTGTCCAAAATTCCCAAAATTACCCTTAAAAGAATTAATGCTATTGGTAGACATTTTTTTAATGGAGTTGGTTGAGGATATCTAAGTAATTTTATTGCTCTATTTAAGAGTTTCTTCTTAAACTACGTGCAAAGTGTAGTATGACACTTATTTTGGAATGGAGGGAGTAGTATTCTAGATTGTAAAAATAAAAATAAGGAATGCAAAAAATTATAATTCGAACATATGAACAATGCTTTTACTTTTGGTACATTTGAAATAATCGGGGAAAATAAAGGCAAATTAGAAAGATAAGTGTGCAGCAAGGAACCGAAAGAGATATGGACGACTCATCTGAATTAAAACCCTCTCGCTTTCTTATGTATTATAAAATTAAAACATTATATTGTAATAATAGCAAAAAGAAAAAGAAAAAAGGTCTTTATGGAACACAAGCTATACAAAGGTTCTGACGTAGATTAGATGAACAAAACATGATGAACAAGAATCAAGATAGCCAATACTATAAAGAAATTTTTATTTCAAAAAAGGGGGAAATAATCAAGATAGTTATGATTATGAAGCAATTTAAATCTTTTGACTAATAATTTCACCATCAAGTAATTTACAATTCAACGAGAATTTGCCAACAAAAAAGAACAACGAAGTAAGAAATAATTAGATGAAATCAAACAGTTACCTGGAGATTAGACATCAAAATCAGTAATTGTGAAGAGAGACCAAACATTCAACATAATGTCTTATTTTTGTACCAAAAAAAAAAAAAGAAGTGTCGTATTTATAAAAGAAAGAAGAATATACGACAGCCCTAATTTCCTATTTTTAAAATAACTTAATTAAAAGAATACTTGAGGACAAAGACTCCAAACCCTAATAAAACTTTCCAAAATTAAAAAACATTCCAAATATCTTGATTGAACTGTTATGATATGATCCGCGGTGCCTTACCTCACCATTATAGGTAAAATTCGAATAATCCAAATAAAGGTTAATTCCAGCCGAAAGCATGGTGATTTGTGGACGACTAACAAGATACTTTTAATTGTGTATAAAATAAAATAAAAACATTTTTAAGTTTTCAGATACTTGTTTACTAATGCGCAGCTATAATTGGTTTAGTGTTGATGTTCATTTCAACGCACTGTTGTTTCAGTTAATTCAACAATTTTTGCAAAAAAGTTTATTCAACAAGTGTCGCTTTGCATGGAATAACTCTTTCTTATTCAAAAGTAATTGTAACTTTTTGAGTGACGAATATGTGTATTCATGTGATTTAAGGAATCACTGCGTACTACGAAGCATGCCTCATCTTTCGATGTTGTCTCCTTTTTTTTTTTTTTCTTTTTTGAATATGTTCACTGTGACAACAGTAAAAATTATTACTTTTATATAATTTTTAAAGCAAAATGTATCTAGCTACCTTAATACTCTTCCACGAGTAAAATGTGTGTACCATTTACATGTATTTTTGGAATTTCAGTTCAGCTGTATGCGGTAAATATATACTAATACTTTCTCTGCCTTAAAAGATACAATAGTTTACCACGACAAACAAAGTGTACCATTTCGACGGAAAAATAGTAATTCTTAAAAGAAATAAACGGCTCATGATTAATCATACTCAATAGAAAAAATTTACGACTATTTACATCGATCAATTGAACGAAAGCTGATGCCGTATTCGTAGGTTTGATAACTACTACGACCCATTATTTTTTGTTTTAAAAAAATATTGGAATTAATGAGCGTCATTAAACTGTGGTAGAATGCATACGTGTCTACAAATGAATGGTGCTCAGCCGCTTAAAACCACTCTTAATTCCTGATTGGTCGTTGTATTAATTGTTTGTACTCATTTTAATTTGTTTTATTAGTAGGAAGCCTGTTTGGACCAACATATATTCTCGCTCCAAGCTAGGATCATTCGTGCCATGGGAAAAAAAAATTAAAAGATTCTTACCATGCAGAGAAGGTAAAAATTAAAATAACCATTTTGGTGTTAAGTTCGGATTGACACTCTATTTTCAACACAAGTATCAATCTCAGTTACACAAGAGACGTATATTAAACTACTACATGCAGAAATTGTAACACAAAAAAAGAAAAACATGTCAAAAAAGAGAGCTGTTTTAACTTCAAATTTACGGGTCAAAGTCAAACATACAGAGGTGAATGGTGAAAATGTGCGGTGCGGAGAAAACATGGAGATGATGAGAGTAAGTTAACGGATTGGGGAATTTGGACAAAAGTCATTGAAACGGCAGAACAGATCGGGACATAACATATATGGTACCTCGTTTATGCGTCGACGTTACCAAACGTTTGAAAGTTGAAACCAACTAAAAGTGCCATTAAGCATTGATTTTGCTTTTTGTTGCTTTTGGTCTGCAAGCCAAATTATATTCACTCAGTCCCAAAATTATTGTTCAGTATCAGATTTTATTTTTAGTACAATTTAAACTATAAATAAAAACTCAAACTGGATAATAATTATGGGACGGAGGGAGTATTAACTTTGCCAACACGAATTGCAACCGTCTTCTTGCTTATGTGATTGGTTAATTCTGAGTATGTTTTGGTTAGATGAATAATGATATACTACTATGATGGACTCACATTTTTCATTTTTCCGTTTCTTGACAAAAAGGTGAGAAATGATTGATTCATCACGTTTACGTAACCACAAATGTGGCATGGAAGTTTGATGGCGGCAACAAAAGTTGTTCCCCGTCCTCCCATTTTTCTCATGATTTATTCTACCATTATGGTTACAAATTTTTTGTGACACGTTTTCTCATAATCTATGTTATTCTCTTACATTCTTTACATGTTATTATGTGCTGTCTTGTTTAGTTAGTTATGATCGTCAAATCAAACTTTATCGTTGAGTTATAACCCGAGTCTTACAGATTAGCATATGTTACTTCTGTTTAATTATGTATAGATCTAAGGTTACTTGGATTAACTCTCTGTAGAAATTTTAAACGTGAACGACTCTGATTTAATGAGTACATTATTTTTTCTAAAATTTTTTCCTTATTGAATTTCCATTCAACAATATTAAGTTAAACTTTCAAGTTACAAAGAGTACGAAGAAGAAAAACGCTAACTAGCGCTTAGTCATTAATGCTTCCCATCCCATGCCTATATATAAACAGATTTATATTTGTTGTTTCTTTATTTTCTTTGGTGCATTTGAAGCCAAGAGGATCTTCAAAATCATCGTATCGCAGTTAGAGATTTGGCCTAACCTTTGGTTAAACCATGAGGAGGACCACTACGTACCTAGATACCCTTTTATAAATCCTTCCTCTTCTTCAATGCTAGGGCCGGTGGTTCGTGTGAAATTTTTCAATTAATTTTTTTTTCTCACTATTCTTTTTAATGGATCACATTCGTTTTATTATTTTGATTCAATAAATAAGTTTACTGAAATGGGACCAAATTAAAAAGAAATATATTAATTATGTTTCGGAAACAAAAATTAAGAGTGATGTGTTTCTTCCTGAGCGCTATGCGCCCCTCTGAACCAATGAACAATGGAGTTTTATTTTCATATAGTGTGGTCACAAGATCTAACCGTATATATTTGTTTGTGTTTTGATTTAATTTAAATGTCTTGGAATTTAATTATCAAGAACACACCACCTATTTATTTTTAACTTAATTTAGTTTCGAGCACGCAATTCATTTGAATTGGTAATTAATTAAATTTTGATTTGTTGATGAGATATTAATATTTGATTATTAGTTTAATGATATGTTGGATGACATATGTTCAACCCTGTGCAAAATGCTTCATCATTAGCCTTATACTCTCATTTTTCGATTTTAATTTTGAAATTAATTTATACTAAAAAAAATTAAAGAAAATCCAAGTTGAAACGAATGGAGCGAAATTTTTCCCAATCACTTTTTGTCGTTTGTCATTTTGATGAACGTTTTGCCCCCTTTAATTCTTCTTTATAAGAATATAGCATAACCAAGGAAGATATATTGACCACTTTTTCCGATCAATTTTAACTCTTAACAAAGCTAGAAGCAACGAGTTCACAAAAGAACTGATGCGGGACTAAACTAATTAGAAGGTTATTTTATACTTTGTCAGTATCTTAATATGCCTTTTGGGCCAAAAAAAAAAACGTGGGCTAGCCCAATTCGACATATTCAAATCTAACTACATGAAGGCTAAATTCAGAAATTTTGTACTCTTTGTTATATTCACTCCGTGTCACGATCGGAACAATTCCGGCGACAAGAACGAAGAGAAGATCGAAATTTCAGAGAGAAGAAAAGGAGAATTAGGATTTTAGGAAAAGAGAAAAAAAAAAAAAGAAAAAGAAAAGTGATATTCAGAAATGCAATTTCATTCCAAATGATTCACGATGTCATTTACAGTATTGACCACTATCTTTATAGTCTAACCTGACTTTCGACAATTACCAAAATAGTCCTTGAACTATAAAACTATTACATTTATTCTCAGTTCATGACAACTCTCCCTCCCTTAAAACAGTCTTGTCCCAAGACTGTGATTACAAGAACTCTGGGTTCCAAGAGAAAAGTGACACTAAACAGACTCTGGCACAAACACCACTATTCCTAAATGATTAAACAAAAACAGAGAACAATAAGACAATGCAATGAGATCAACAAAAAAA